AAAAATGCACAACATTGAAAAGTCATTACAGAAGACTCACGCAGTCTAGTATTTGAAGTGGTTCATGCTTAGCTGCTCCTTGGCTTGTAATTCTCATTTCCTGTATTTTTTCTTCCTTTTGCTTTCTTTTTTCACCTTTGTTTCTGCTCTTAATCATACATTGCAACCCTTCTGCATTCATTTCACCTCATGTTTTGCTTTTGAGCTCCAACATACATTAATTTGCATGAATCTTCTTAGACAGATCTACATTGCACTGATCTATGAAGTGTTCAGTTACAAGATACATTGCTTTTATGCAAAACAGTTGCAAATGAAAGTTCAGTGACAGATGAAGAATAAAGATGTGACTATTAAAATTACAAAGTCAGTAAGAGATGAAGTCTTGTGTTTTTCTTGTTGTCTTTCTAAATTTTTGTCACATTTATCTGTGAATTCTGACATTTGATAGTAGGATCACCTCTCCTCTCCCAAAAAATAAATTGTTGAAGAATATGTTTTAAATGAAAATTCTCTTCACTTTCTAGTCACTTTTTTAGAATGAATTCCATATTACAGTAATTGCAGAAAGATAACTGCAGAAATAAATGTGTAAGAAATATTTCAAATGTAATCAGAAAACAAATGCTTGATGCAGATTTATTGCAGGTCATATAAAATCTGATTTTAAATAGATGCAAATGCTGTTATTAGTTAGTTTATATTTTTATTTAAAGTTTGAAAACCATATTTGCACCTTTGAAACATACGAGTGCCAACAAATTTCTTTGACTAATTGTGTTTTCAGGCTTAATTGTTTAATGTGTTGCCTGCAAACACCCACTTACTTCTATCAACTGTGCTTCTACATTTTGTTAAATTTATGTTCCTGTTTCATTGTCACTGGAAACTTAGATGGGAACTTGGTCAGTGCAGGTCTTGCAGGTCTTTGGTGTTCTGACAGCAAGCACATAGTATTAATGCTTACTTTCTTGAGGCATATGATGTTAACTTGCTTTGTGTAAAATTGCTACACTCCCAGCTGATTTATGTGAGCAGAAAAAGATTAAAACTAAGGCAGGTGAGATGCAGTTGTGGTTCAGGTCTCACTCTTGCCTATTTGTGCTTGTCTTGTTAGCTCTGGATAAAACAGGTCCAAAGCAGATGTGTGAATGACAGCTTTTTGGAGCACTTCCTCTTATTCCCAGATGAACGGCATATGTGTTAACATGCATAAACTGGTACAGATGATGGAAAAGGCAATATGGCAATTTAAGTTTATTTTAAACTTCTTATAAACTTCTTATGTCATGATTTCTGGAAACTACACAGATGCTACTGTAAACAGATTTCTGTGCAGCTGATTTCTGTCACTTGGAAGACTAATGCTCTAGTTCTGTCAAAAATGAGAAAAGGTGGTTTCAGAGGTTTTGGTATTGTTGGCTGTGGTTTTGTTTGCTTTAATAAAATTGTTAGTTTTACTGACGTGTTCCAAGTAGATACGGATCACTTCATCTTACCTCAGTTATTTAGTTTCAGTTCCAGTTTATTCTAGGCCGCTGACTTCTGTTACTCAGATTTGCTAGGCAAAATGTGAAATAAGGCACAACGCATACATTTTGGGTTCTCATGAAATGCTTTGAACTGTTTCACTACTGTGGTTGTCCTGAGGGAAAAAGTGTTGTATCATAGTTGTATCATCTTGTTCTTCTATTGAGATCAGGTGGAGCATGTACAGGAATTCTTGATATTCCTGTGTTTGGAGAAAGCTGAAAAGTCAGCAGATCAAAATGCTTTTCTGTGGTACTAGTTTCTGCCTCAGTGCTTGCTGAAGTATAATATTAGGAGATGAAAAACTTATTTTCTTATTTCAGATTTTTACCTAAATGAGAAGGTGGTTCATACATGTTTGGAAGTCCATTGTTACACTTCCTTTCACTTCACAAGTGACACAAACCTTGCTACGCTAGTTCATGGTTTTGCTCTGAGTGGTTTGGCTTGTATAACTCTCCTTTTCTGATGCACAACAGGGCAGACCCTTCCTCAGAATCCCCTTCCTTCATTTTGCAGGAGTAAGAGCAGTTTTGTTTCTAGCCTTTCTTCAGATGTGGTTCTATTATAAAATAGAGCTTTTGCAAGTCCTTGTAGGAAAAAAATAAAAAATAAACAATTCCAGAGATAATTTCTGACTAAAAGAGTCATGATATTGGTAGTTGGGCACAGGACGTTATTCCTTCTGGCAGGGGTGATTCCAAGTGGTTCCATTCGTAGCTCTTAACCATTCATGTGGTAAGCAACAGCACTCCAGAAACACCTAATAAACAATAACTCTGTCTGGTCATGGAGATGTCTAACTTCCCTATGAGGAAATGTAAACTAGACTTCCAATCCCTAATTCTCCATTCTTCCTAAATCTCTTACTGTTCCCTTTCCTGGATTTGAGAGATCTGTAAGAATCTGAAAACTATGTGAATCCTACAGAATGTAGAAATGGTGTCTGCTCCTCCTCTTAAATGTTGACTGATACTTTGAATAGCCAGAATTCTGACCTCTATGACAGGCATAATCAACAGACTGTTCTGTGAAGGAATACCCTGACAACCCCATACCCTTCTACATACTTTTCTTTGGTGACACAACATGCACCATTTTCAGCATTTCAGGTTACCTTATAATTTTCCCACAGCCCTAAATTTCATTCACAGGAGATGCATGGCAGGTGAATTAGAGGAATCTAGCTCTGAGGAGTGAAGACTTCATAGTGCGCTGTGTGGACTGCTGCTTCCTCTTGTTTTATCTGGAGCGTGTGCTCTGGAAGTGGAACTGGGGGTTGTATAAGAGAGCACCATGCAAAACTGCCCTTTAGGTCCACAGTTTTAGTACAGGTTGTGGAAGGAAATGTAACAACTTTAAGATATTTTTACTAAGGAGATTTCTGCCAGGGTTGTTCTGTAGAAAAACTTGAATAATGTGGTTAACTCACAGTTCTGTTCTTCTGAAAACTGCATTCTTGAGACATAATTGGCTCAATTGGATTATTTGTTTAGCGTTGCATAACTCAAGATTCTGGCCTCCCAGACACATCAAAATCAAAGTTTCATGCAATATTGGAAATTCAAAGAACTTTCTCAGCTGACACGGATAAGTAGGGCTTCAAAACAGTTTCATAAAGAGTATTTTTCTCCAGGGATTTGAATTTCTTTGTGGAAGAAGAATTGAAGGAAATTACTTCAGACAAATAGATTCTGTCATGGGGGAAAAATGAATTGTTTAGTGTTAGTTTATTCTTTCTCCAGCTCATAGATCTCCCTCCTTTTTCAGTCTGCTTTCTCCTAGCAAAGAAAACCATCATTTAAAATCACATCACTGACTGGGAAGATTATCAAGTTGGAATGAAATTCCTCTTGATTTTATGCTAATCAAGTAGCTATTGGTTATTTGAATGTGACATTTATCCTAAGCTTCAAGTGGTTAAATCAGGTCATCACATGAAGAAAACTGAAGCTGGAAGGTCTTTGAAATAGAAATCTCTCAACTGAAGAATTCCATGAATAGATCTGAAAGATGTTTCTCTATGTAGAGCAAAGACAGAATCCCTGCAGAAGTCACCTCTGTCATCTTGGATCTTAAGTACTTCGCTGTTCTTCATATTTTATGCCATCCAAGTTATTAGCAGAATTTCATCAATGGCAGCATCAGAACTTCAGTAGAAATCTTATTATAATCTGAATGCATAATGATCATTCGTGTCAGGCCTTCCAAATCCAATGACCAGTAATTCAGAGACTGCTTTCATTGCATTTAGTGATACCTCTTTTCTCCCTCCTCAAAGCTTTACCAGTATGAGAACTGTCTTGAAGACTTCAGTAAAGGCTTTACTTTACTCTAAGTTCATAGAGCAGATGATCTCAATCCTTGGGCTTTTTGCATCTGTCCCTATTAGACCACACAGTAACACCTGAATCTTGTTAAGCTTTATCACGCTGATTGTGTGTGGCTGATAACTTACACTATTTTTCATATTAATTATTCAGTGATTTTGGTAATTGTTTTCCTAACCCCTTGTTTGTCCCAAGGAATTGACTGCAATCTGTAAGTCAGTAACAGTTCAGTCCAGCAACAAATGGTAATTTCTTCTGCACAACCAAATTCTACTTCAAGTTTAAGATATCAGATATTCATGTCATTCCACATCTGTTCTAGAAAGCTTTTTTAAAAACCCAGACAAACCTAGGATTTTTCTTCCATTATTTATTCCATCAGCTAAATAAAAAGTTCGGTGGTTCCTGTAAACAGTCTAAACAGTCTGTTTAAAGGATCTGTTGATCCAGAAGATAAATCTTGTTTGATGGCCCACTGGGTTTTTATAACATTTAGCCTTCAGAAATTATCTTCTCTGAAGAGGTAGACGCAAATAGTTTTATATGTAGGATGACAGAATATTGAAATCTGTGATGATGGATAAAATACTATAAAGAAGTTAAAAGCTGGAAACTATTGGAATTTTCTGGTGGCTTTTGATGACCTGTTTTATCAGCATATGGGTTGCATAAGAGGTTTTCATACTCTGAAGTCAGTGTCACTGTAGGCGTGCAGGCTGAACTATCTCAAGATGAGTAATACATTGTCCCACATTGTCCCAGTGACTGTTGTGTCAAAAGATTATACTACCATAAACAAAAGCACAATTGGATTAAAATACTACAAGGGTCATAACTGAAAAATACTCAATAATACCATTTTGTTAATGTATTTACCTGTAAAATAACAACATACTACTGGTCATTAAGTTAAGAGATAGTTCAGTATTCGATACTGAAATCCATACAGTTGGTTTTTGCCTGTTTTTCCAAGTCCAGAGAAGTTTGTTTGAAATCTCCTCCTACTGCTTAATGCATCAGTTTCTTCATAATAAGTGCTTCAGTTCTGAGACCTCACTTACTCAGTGTTCAGTTCATATCCCTTTTCCATCTGTGTTCCCTGGATTTGCTTTTGCAAAATGAAGGAGTTTTGTCTTTCAGAGCGGGAAGGTCACAGGAAGCGATTCAGGAAGTGTCATTGACCTTACACTGGATGATGAGGATGATGTCTCTTCTCAAGGTAAGTGTAAAAGATTTTCCTGACAGCTGGGACAGTTGAGCTGCAAGTATTATTTCGTGCCCTTGAATGATAGGAAGGAGTTTCAGTTCAGTGTTTTTTATTCTCTGCTGTTTCTGTAAAGCAGGGCGGTGACTAGAGAATTCTGATAGGCCTTAAACAAAAGGAGTTCTGCTTAGTATAAAATACTGTCTTTAAGGTTTTGCCTTTTTCCTTTAAGAGATGTTGCTTTCTATGTTTAAATCTGTTAGAAATAAATAATCTGAAGTAATTTGAGAAGTTTAAACTATTACATTTTTAAAACCTCCTCTAGACAGATTTTGTTGACTGAATAATTAAAGACTTTTTACAGTTGGCATTCAGGCATTAGATTGTTAGAATTTCTAATCCTTTTTTTCCTCCTAAATAAACAACTTTGTGTAAATAACAAATGAAGATCTGATCTGTTCTCTGCTTTGTGTCTGTGTGCCAACATTAAATACAGTTGTGCTTTTACATCCTTTGACAGTGCGGTTGCACCTCATTGCTCTGACTGCAGTGTTGCAAGCCCATTTTGTTGCATGGAAATTAGCCCCTCTTCTTTTCCATGTTGTGGTTTAGATTTTTAGTTTTGCTCTACACCTGCACCTCAGTAGTGATGATTTTCATTTTATGTTCATTTCCAGAAATCAAATTGTCCTTTCTCTCGAGTTCCATATTTTTAGTGAAGATGATATTTTGTTCATTTTGCATTGGAACAGTTCCTACATTACTTCTGACCTTAACTCTGTGCTTACTGTGTACTTCGTCTTCATTTTTCCTTGCTGATTTTTTATTTACACCACTAAATAACCTTTTGCTAGGGGTACCTAAATCGGTTATCTTTCCTAGTTTCTAGCTGGTAGAATCCTGACCTAGTTTCCACAGCTGGAATCTCAGCAGGACTCTCAATTTGTTAGGGATAAATGATCATGCTTCCATGTGAGATAAAAACAGAAAAATTCATGTTAGCCCAGACTGTCCTTGTTATCTGAATGACCCTTTTATAGGAGTAGTATGTCTGGATTCCTACTGGTTGGATCATGAGCACATCTTCTCTAGATCATGACTAAGAATGCACTCATTCAAATTATGCATCATTTAAATGATGCAGTGGCATTTATAGTGTGTAGAAATCTGTAAGTGACTATTCAAAGTGACTGTGTGTGTACATCTCTATAGTAATCTCTTGAAGGAATTTGCTGGACACTGAGAAGTCTCTCATACCAATATGAAATACAAGAAGATTGAACTAATCACAAGACCTGTTACTTTATGAAACAGCAGGAAATATCTCACTTTGTATTTTCAAAACAAGGATCTCTTCACTGCTTCTTCTATATGCTGCTTTGTTCACTGAAAGAAAATTGTTTTTGTCAAATGACTTCAGCAAAGTAGCTCAGCTTCAATCTACAGACGGGACAATGCAGAAAGTCTGCAATTTATTTTGTATTACTTTTGAAGTCATGAATTGTGTTAGGTTATCATACAAGAGTTTGTGAAGGGTACTGCTACTTTAAGCTGTCAGTAGCTGGTGTTAAAGACAGTGTGATCATCAAAATACTTTCCGCTTCCTCATAAATAAATAAACATCTTGAGCCACACTGCCATTAGCCCTGTTCTTGCATGTAACTTCATTAGCATACTTGATTGATAGTTTCTAAACATGTTCTTTAATATATTGCTGATATGTATTCTCAAGAGTGTAATATTTTCTATTTCTACATTGTGTGCTCTTTTCTAAACTAGTGGTTGCTGCATGTGCAGTTTTGTCAGGGCAAATCATTTTTGAATGGCTGCCCTTAAAACTTACTCTCAATTTTGTGTTCTCTAGTTTTTGGTGGTGCCTTATCTGCCCACTGTTAGTCTAATCTGGCTTAAAAATACAGCTTCCCAGTTCTCCTTGTGGACAAAAGGTCTGTTTACATACAGGTTTGCACTCAAATTGTTTTACGATGCCATATAGTGAAATACAAATACAGGTGCTGTATTTCTCAGTTCTCCCAGTCAGTGGGAGTCACATTGACAGTGTGACCCAATCAGTGGGTAAGTCATGTTGACAATGTGACAAAACAAAATTTAAAATCTTCTAAATTTTTTTAATAATAAAGCTATTTTCCTTTATTAAGAAAATAGTATGAAAATTCAAAACAGCAATAAATGGATGACTAACATATCAAACAAAGGAAAGAGTCAGCAAAAAAAAGGGTATAGGCACCAGGAGGAGACAAGAATTACTACTTAAAAAAATAAGTTTAACACAGCAATGTTTAAGCCCTTTTTAAGGTTTAGGCCACTCCTTTCTTGGTGGAAAAAATCAGGTTTTCAAATTACGCAGAAACCTCATAATGATAGAATGAAACATTATGGAGTATAGGATGGAAAATAATTGACATGATGAATGTGAGGAACTGAATGAAATTTTAACAGTTTGGTTTGCAGAATGAAAAGATGAAAGAAATGTGCTAGAAAATATTCTTTGATAATCTGAACGACAGGAAATGAACAGATCTGTGATGTAATAGTTCTGTTTGCAGTTGTCATTGTTATTGCTGTTTTGTTTTAAAGCAGAGGCCAAGAAGCAGAATCAGACACCTCCTACAGCACAGAGCATCCCTGCCCAGCCTTTGTCTCGCCCCCTACCACCTTTGCAGCCAAACCCTCTGCAGCAAACAGGCGTGCCAACAAGTGGGCCTTCCCAGACCACTATACATGTATTACCTACAGGTAACATCATTTCTGTTATTTTGTCTGTTATTTTGTTATGGGTTTGGTTGTTTTTTTTTCTGTAGATAATTGTTGGGCATTAGAATCATCTTAGAACTGATCAGTTCTGTGGACTCTTAATTGCTTGTATTCAGTTGTGATTTTTATCTTCTCCACAGCTATCAGACCTCAGAACTACTTTTATTTACACAGATCAGATATAGTAATCGTTGGGTTTTTTATGATCTTTTTTTTCTATATTTGGACTTATTAGCAATAGAGGATTAGGGTTTGTTTCTTTTTCTTCAGTCTCATTCTTTGAGATATTATTTTTATCTGTTCTGTTTGGAATTTGGATATATGCTGACATCGTTACTGTTTCAGGTGAAAATTACCATTACCATTTGTTTATGCTATTTTCCCCTTTCTTGCACTATCAGAAACAGATAGAATTTTGTGGCGATAGCTTTTATTTTGCATGTTCTGGGATTACATTCTAGGTTTTGGTTTGTCTCTCTTTTTCCAGCTCCGACAACAGTGAATGTAACTCATCGACCAGTGACTCAAACAGCTGCAAAACTTCCTATACCACGAACCCCAACTAACCATCAGGTGGTCTATACCACTATTCCCGCACCACCAGCTCAGAATTCTGTAAGAGGAGCTGTCATGCCAAGTCCAAGTTTAAGGCCAGTCAACCCACAGGCTGGAGGTAAGGGATTCTTTCTCCCAGGCACATTCTAGCACAGCAGAGCTTCATACATTCTGCCTAATGGATGTGGATTGTTTTGTGTTGTTGTTTTGTTTTGTTTTACAATACTAGTCCAAATTGGAGGTTATTTTTTTACTAACCTAAAGAATTGAGAAAATTTCCAGCTATTAAGAAATATTTCACACTACAACTACGTAAATGAGGAAAAAATGGAATGAAGTTATTTCACACACTGCTTCTGCTAACTCTGTATCTCTGGATGGCATTCCGAGTGCTTCACAAGATATCAGAAAGTAATGTCATGAGCACAGCTGTTCTGGAGGATGTTTTGTTATTAAGCTTGCAAGATTAAAATCTATATGTATGTAGTAAATAATGTTTGATTTCCCATCTGAAATTCCGTCATGATCTCTTATGTCCTGTGCCCAGCAAGTTTTCATATTTTAAGTCAAGACATAATTTCTCACCAAGTGCATCAGTTTCTGATGCGTGATTGTGTTTCTTTGTCTAGGTATGTCAGCAAGTTCATCTAAACTTTGCTAGCGTACTAGTGTCTTCCTATAGCAGAAAAATATATGAATTAAGAACTCTATCTTCACAATAAAAACCTTGATGTTAAATAGTAGTTTATATTTTGCTGTTAAGTGGGGGATTTAAACTGCTTTTTTAGCTCCCCACAATTTCTCTACTATGCTCCCCACAATTTCTCTACTATGCTTTTTCAACATGGTTTAACGTAAGTTTCTCTGTTCTGTTGTACAGACTGAGGTTACATTTATGTGACATCCAGGTAGTGAATTTTCTTAGACATCATCTATATAAGTCAGGCTCAGAACGCTGTGCTTGAACAGTGTGAGATTGTGCCTCTATAAAGTCCTCCAGATTTATGGTTCTGAATTCTTAGAAAAAAGAACATCCATGCATATTTGTAGCCATTTAATTCTAAGCATCTCTTACAACTAGGTTCACTTGCATTGCCTGGGGTTGTGAAAAATCAGCAGTGCTAGCTAAGCAGAACTTGATCAGACAGTTCTTGAGCGATGTCTATAGAATGTCAGGTTGTGAGGAAATAAGCATTCCTTTCAGAGTATTTGTTTGTATTTCTTAAACTCACAATACTGCTGCTCCACACACACTTGAGTCCATATTCTTCTTTTCAGAGGTACCTCTACATCTTGTGTTCCTGGTGGCAGAAGACCATAAAAGGCAGGATAACCTCAATCTACCTTAGTTTCTGTCACTGTTACTCTTAGCAGCAAGTCAAACCTGTGCAGTCTGTCTGCTGTTTTGGAAGGAGTTTTGAGTCACTTAATTATTTTAGTTGCATTTTCTACTTTGTACCAAATTTGTATCGCGCATGGAAGATTCTTAAGGTGTTGCTGAAGAACTTAGAATAGATAATATGCTATTTTAAAGCTTTCTGTAGGAGAACTTAATGAGTGTTTTTCAGATGAGATCAGACAACAGTAGATCTCTTTGTAGCGTTGTTCTGCTGGTCCATTGATAGAATCTGCTCAAAAATTCTCAAGAAGGTTTCCAATAAAAGTAAATAAGATTCAGGTTGACAGAACCGTGAATAACCTAATCAAAGAGCACTCTTCCGCTGGAGACTGGGCCACATCATCTCCAGAGATCCCTTCAAACCTGGACCTCTCTGTAATTCTGTTACTGTTAAAGGCATTTACATGAACATACTTTTCAAGTCAGAATATGATGCAGTACTGTTGCCTGATAAGCCAAATAATACATAAGAAACTGACAGTTCTTCCCTAATATTACGATTTCCATGTACCACAGGACAAGGACACCAGATTGTTGGCCTGAGCAGGTTGAAGATCAGTTTATATGGAATACAGATTATTTCAAGGCTTCACATTTGCATATCAGATATAGATGTTTCGCTTAATTGTAGCAAAAAAGTTATTACATTCTTTGATCTCTTTTATCTGACAGCTGTCAGCTGTACTTGACCATCTTTTAGCCCATTCTGGATTTTTAACCTTCCTTATCATATGGTTTTTTAATACAGAAATGCTGGTGATAATCTGTTTTGGTTTTCACTATCGTTGAAATTGTTTTTAGGGTCAGTAGCAGGTGCTTAAGTAGTAAGATCTCTCCACTCTTTTTTCAGGAAGATTGACTCATCCAGTGTGTTTTGTAGTGTTGTAGGTTTGTACTGCTACTTTAACCAAGTAGTTAGGTGTACCTGATCTTCACAAAGATGCACTCAGAAGCAATATTAACTGTGTACTTTATATGTTCTTAAGGTACTTCTGTCCATCTCTCTTCAGATTATTGTAATTTCCTGAGACAGAATCACATCATGCTAGAGCAGTGTTCTCAGTTGAATTTTCATACATAAGGAATAGCTAGTTTTTGATGACTTAATCCTGTAAGAGTTTCCAGTTTCATTAGCTTCTTAGATAGATGTGCTAATAGAAAAAAAAGAGATAAAACAGCTAAGATGAAACAGTAAGATTTAGCACTCTATGTGAGTTCACTGTCTCAGTCCTACAGTTTACTTGGATGTCTGACTCTCATCAGTTGTGTTAAAGCTGATGACTGTTTATAGAAAGAAATCATCAAAGAATCGGTGGTTTTGTGAAATGTATCACTCTATGAGCTACTCTTTCTTTCTGTTTTGAAGAATTGGAATGCTTGGATATCGTACATTTGGGGATCTGTAAGGAAGAGATTGCCCAAGATCCATTATTTTCTAGATAGAAATAGAAGAATCATAGAATCACAGAAAGTCAGGGGTTGGAAGGGACCTCAAAAGATCATCTAGTCTAATCTCCCTGCCGGAGTGGAAACACCTAGATTAGGTCACACAGGAACACGACCAGGTGGGTTTTGAACAACTCCAGAGAAGGAGACTCCACAACCTCTCTGGGCAGCCTGTTCCAGTGTTTTGTTACCTTCATTATGAAAGAAGCTTTTTCTCATATTTATGTGGAACCTCCTATGTTCCAGCTTGCACCCATTGCCCCTTGTCCCGTCCTCTTTACACTCACCCTTCACATACTTATAAATGTTAATGAGGTCACCCCCCATTCTCCTCTTCTCCAAGCTAAAAAGACCCAGCTCCCTCAGCCTTTCATTGTCAGAGGGATGCTTCACTCCTTTAATCGTCTTTGTGGCTCTGCAACTGGACTCTTTCAAGCAGTTCCCTGTCCTTGAACTGCGGGGCCGAGAACCGTACACAATATCCCAAATACAGTCTCACCAGGGCAGAGTAGAGGGGGAGAAGAACCTCTCTCAACCTAGTAACCACACCCTTTCTGATACACTCCAAGATGCCATTGGCCCTCTCATGGTCATCCTGCTGTCCACCAGAACCCCTAGGTCCCTTTGCCCTATGTTACTCTCCAGCAGGGTACTCCCTGACCTATACTGGTACCTGGGATTGTTCTTGCCCAGATGCAAGACTCTCTGCTTACCCTTGTTATATTTCATTAAATTTCTCCCTGCCCAACTCTCCAGCCTGTCTGGGTCTCACTGTATGGCAGCACAGCCTTCTAGTGTGTCAGCCACTCTCCCAATTTTGTGTTATCAGCAAACATTGCTGACAGTCCACTCTATTCCCTCATCCAAGTCATTGATTAATATATTGAATAGTACTGGTCCCAGTACCAAACCTTGAGGGACTCCACTAGATACAGGCCTCCAAATAGACTCTGTGCCATTGACCACAACTCTCTGGTTTCTTTCCTTTAGCCAGTTCACAGTCCACCTCGCTACCCGATTGTCCAGACCACGCTACACCAAGATAGACCACATCCACTGCTTTACCATCATATACCCACCTGGTTATAGAGTCGTAGAGTCATAGAAAACTTAGAGTTGGAAGGGACCTTTAAAGGTCATCTAGTTCAACTCCCCTGCAGTGAACATGGACACCCACAGTTAAATCAGGTTGCTCAGAGCTTGATCCAGCCTCACCTTGAAAGTCTCCAGGAACAGGTCATCAACCACATCTCTAGTCACCCAGTTCTAGTGCCTCATCACTGTCACTGTAAAAGCCTTTTTCCTTATGACCAACCTAAAGCTACCCTCTTTAAGCTTGAAGCCCTTTTGTTATGTCTTTGTAAAAGGATATCAGGTTGGTTAAGCGTGATTTCCCTTGGTGAAGCCATGTTGACTGCCCCTAATGATCTTCTTATCCTTGATTTGCATAGAGACAGCACCAAGGATAGGCTGTTCCATTACCTTTCCAGAAACAGACATGAGACTGACTGGTCTATAGTTACCTGGGTCCTCCTTCTTGCCCTTTTTGAAGTCCGGAGTGACATTTGCTTTCCACCAGTCCTCAGGCACCTCTGCTGTTCCCCACAGCTTACCATACATAATGGAGAGTGGCCTAGCAATGAACTTCACCAGCTCCCTCAGCACCCACGGGTTCATCTCATCAGGACCCATGGATTTATGGATGTCCAGATAGCTCTATTGGTCTTGAACCCAGTCCTCATCAACTGAGGCAAATTCCTCCTTTATCCTGACTTCCTCTGGGTGCTCAGGGGTATAGGGTTCTTCAGGACAACCTCCAGCAGTATAGACAAAGAAGGCATTCAGTAACTCTGCCTTCCCTGTGTCTTCTATCACCAGTGCACCCACCATTCATCAGTGGACCTATGCTGCATCTAGGGTTAGTTTTATCTGCAATGGAGATAAAAATCTGCAATTTGAAGAAGCCCTTTCTGCTGCCCTTGATCCTTCTTACAAGGTTTAATTCTAAGGAGGCCTTAGCTTTCCTAGTTACCTCCCTATATTCTCTCACAATAGTCTTATATTCCTCCTAAGTGGCCAGCCCTTCCTTCCACAATCTGCAGACTCTCCTCTTCCATTTGAGTTTGCCTAGCAGTTCCATGTTTAACTATGCAGGTCTCCTGGCTCCCTTTCTTGACTTCCTGTCCATTGGGATGCTCTGATCTTGAGCTTGGAAGAAGCAGTCCTTGAATGCTAACGAACTATCTTGGGCCCCTTTGCCTTCAAGTACCCTGTCCCATGGAATTTCTTGAAGATGCCACAGTTGGCCCTACTGAAGTCTAGAGTTGTGATTCTGCATGGTATTCTGTTCCTGCCACGTGAGATCCTGAACTCTGCCATCTTATGATCGTTGCAGCCAAGGCTGCCCTCAACTTTCACCACTTCAACCAGACCTTCCTTGTTAGTGAGAACAGTATCCAGCAGCACTCCTCTCCTAGTTGGTTCATCCACTGTTTGTATCAGGAAGTTATCATCAGTGTACACAGTCTTCTGGACTGTGGATGGCTGGCTGAGTAGGCCTAGCAAATATCGGGCTAGCTAAAATCCCTCATGACAACCAGGGCCTGTAATTGTGAGGCTGCTATCAGCTGCCTGTGGAAGGCCTCGTCAAGTTCCTTATCTTGATCAGGTGGCCCGTGATAGACACCCACAACAGCATTACCTTTGTCAGCCTGCCCCTTAATTCTCACCCACAAACACACAATTCACTCCTCATCTCCCCCTGGACAGGACTCAGTACACTCTAGTTGCTCTCTAACGTAAACAGCAACTCCACCACCTCGCCTTGCTCACCTGTCTTTGCTGAGAAGGGCATAGCCATCCATGACTACATTTCAGTCATGTGATCTGTCCCACCATGTCTCTATAACCTTGATGTTGGACTTGATGATCTTGAAGGTCTTTCCCAACCTTAGAATTCTGTGATTCTATGATTCCTACCTACCTGTCTGGAAGATCAGCAGTAGGTAGTAGTCTATCAAGTGCACCAGGCAGGGGAGTGCCCTGATGATATCCCTAATCTGGGCTCCAGGTAGACTGTAGACTTCCCTATTTTGAGAGTCAACACTGCATACTAGGCCCTCTGTTCCCTTCAGGAGTGTGTCACCAATAACTAGAATCCTTCTCTTTTTCCTTGTGGAAGAGGTTATCACGTTGCAGGAAGGCATATCCAATTGAGATAAGACCTCTGGAGCAGGTTGCCTATCCTCCTCTTTGACAGCTAGTTCCTCCTGTAGGACCTGTTCTGCAAGGTTTAACTGGAAAGGTGGGGGAGGTCAGGAGTGGATTCACTTGCTTCCTGGAGCAGGGACTTGTCTCCATTCCTCCCAGTCTCTGAGGTCCTTCCCCAACTGCCTGGTGACAAGAGGGGAGGGGATCCTCCAGATTACCTGGAGCCTCAACCTGTCCTCTCTCTCAGGGTCCACCAGTCAGTCTCTCTCTCACACTCTCTGATACTCCCCAACATCTCCACTTCATCCTTCAGCTCAACCTCTAGGCTGGGCAGATCATTCAGCAGTTCACATCTGACACAGATGTTGTCTTTGCTCCCCTCCATTACAAGAACATGCTAGGCAACCAATAACAATGAGCAGAAAAGCACTGAGCTCATAAAACCTGTATGTCCCATCAGTAAATGGGCAAAATATTACTTAAGAGAGAGAAATGTAGTATAAAATTTGTAGCTGCTTGGTATTTTGCAAGAGTTCTGGATATTAGGTATGAAGCTATAAAATTACCTAGTTTACTCCTGCCAGTCCGGTCAGTTTGCTATGAAATGGCAATTCCTGTGAGTAGATATTCATAGTGGTGTCCATTCTGTGAGCGAAGCTTCTTGGACAGTGATGTAATCTTTTCTGGTTTTCATACCATCCTAGCATACACAGCTTCCTAGCATTTGAATGCTGAATGGTTGTCATTCTGCTGCTGCAGCATTTATGTTCTCCTTGAATCCTGAAGTGATTGGATTTATTTATTTATTTTTGTAAAGCTCAAGCTGCCTGAATCTCCCCCACTTCTCCTCCCCCATTTCTTTCATACTACAAATGACAAAAACATCATTCTGCCCCTTCTGCAGACATTAGCACGTGTTTTCTTTTACAGCGTAGAGGAACAGAAAGTGGTTTTGGCTTAGTACAGTAATTAGTCTGATGGCAGTTTGAGAAGGATGTGTCAGTTTAAAATTTGGTGTCAGCCAGCTGAGTGAAGGAGTTTGGCTTCCAGTGTTCTGTTTTGCTGATTTAAAATATTCAGTACTCAGAAATGTTCCTTGTGCTTCTTACTACAGGCATGACAGTACGAATGCCTCAAACAACTGCATATGTTGTGAACAATGGACTAACTCTCGGATCTGGAGCACCTCAGCTTACAGTGCATCATCGACCACCACAAGTGCATGCAGTGAGTACTCTCATTTTGAAATTACTTAAGGCAATTTACAGACTTGTCTCTGCACTAGTATGTCTGAGATTGTTTCTCAGTGTGAACTGAAGAACAAGGAAATATCTTGTAGGCACTTTCCAGCCACTTCACATGTATAACACCATCATATCACCTTCAGAAAGTTCTACCAGGAACAGTGAAAGCTGTGCTATCGTGTTAGCTTACACAGGAGTTCTTCAAATGAGCAGTGTTGCATATTGAAAAATGATGTGAATTATCTGCAGGTGAATTGTGGAGTCAAGGGTATAAAAGAACTGCCACAAGAAGTTTTATTATAATCTGAAACTATAATTCATGGGATTGCCTATGAATTGGATGATAACACTTCTCTGTTGTGTGGGTGAGAGAGCACTGGAACAGGCTGCCCAGTGGGGTTGTGGAGTCTCCTTTGTGGAGATCTTCAGAAGCTACCTTTACCTGGTCCTGAGCAAACTGCCTGTAGGTGGCCCTTGCTTCAGTAGGGGTTGGACCAGATGACCTTTAGACCATCCAGCCTCAATCATCTGGTCATTTTGTGATCAGGCCTTTTACATGGTACCCCACATCTTTTTCTCCAAATTGGAAGGATATGGATTTGGTGGGCAGATTGGTCAATGGATGAAGAACTGGCTGCAGGATTGAGTCTAGAGGGTGGTGGCCAGTGGCTCAGTGTGTGGATGGAGATCAGTGACAAGTGGTGTCCCACAGGAGTCAGTGCTGGGACCGATACTCTTTAATATCTTAATCAATGACATTGCCAGTGGGATTGCTTGCACCCTCATCAAGTATGCTGATGACACCAAGCTGTGGGTTGCGGTCGACACACCTGAGGGACAGGATGCCATCCAGAGGGACCTGGACAGGCTAGAGAAGTGGACCCAGGAGCACCTTTTGAGGTTCAACAAATCCAAATGCAAGATCTGCATTTTGATCTTGCACCTGGGTCAAGGCAGTCCTCACTACCCATACAAGCTCCGGAAAGAAAGGATTGAGCACAGACCTGTTGAAAAAGACCTGTGAGTACTGGTGGATGGGAAGCTGGACATGAGCCAGCAGTGTGCCTTTGCAGCCCAGAAAGTCAACCATATCCTGGGCTACATCAAAAGATGTGTGGCCAGCAAGGTGAGGGAGGTGATCCTGCCCCACTGCAGTGGTGAGGCATTACTTGGAACACTGCATCCAGATGTGGTGTCCTCAGTACAGGAGAGACATGGACCTTTTGGAGTGCATCCAGAGGAGGGCCACAGAAATGATCCAAGGAATGGAACACCTTTCCTATGAGGACAGGCTGAAAGAGCTAGGGCTATTCAGCTTGGAGAAGGATCTGAGGTGACCCAATAGCAGCCTTTCACCATCTAATAAGGAGCTACAGGAAAGAAGGGAGCAGACTTTTTAGCAGGGCCTTTCGTGATAGAACAAGGGGAAATAGCTTCAAGTTCGGGGAGGGTAGATTTAGGTTGGACATAAGGAAAAAGGCTTTTACAGTAACAGTGATGAGGCACTAGAACTGGTTGACTAGAGATGTGGTTGATCCCTGTCCCTGGAGACTTTCAAGGTGAGTCTGGATCAAGCCCTGAGCAACTTGATTTAGCTGTGTGTGTCCATGTTCACTGCAGGGGAGTTGAACTAGATGACCTTTAAAGGTCCCTTCCAACTCTAATGATTCAATGATTCTATGATCAGTTTTTCAGTACAGATGCTTGCAAAGGTTAGGTAGAAGAACACAGTACAGACAACATCCTTAATTGCCAAGTCCTGAATTTTTGAGGTTTGGGTTCTTTGGTGTTTTTTTGTTTTAATCACTGCTTGGGTTGATTCTTTCTGTCTCACCTCAAACCCTTTTTAGTAAGACAAAATTTACTTTTGACTAATTTTATATCATTCTGTTGTTGAGACTGAAGTATGTTGCCTCCATACTCAATTGTTACACAGTCACCTCATTTCCAGTCTCCTGATTTGGTAAATATATTACCAAAGTGGCTAACAATTTTTTGAATCTAGACATTATTCAACCTTCACTGATACATAGTGAGAAGAAAGCAAGCCAATATCATGCACCAAAACTTAAACAACAAAAACCAGATGATTCCACCATGAAAAAATCCCTGGCATTGCAGTAACAAAATGTCGTGCTCACTGTAACCATATTCCTAAATTGAAATTAACTAACATAAATAATAGACTTAGAAAAGTTTCTGTGATCGAAATATTTCAATGTAAAGTCACATTTTGCCCTTATTTCAAAACTTTCTGGAAACTGAGGCTGAGGTTTTGTGTTCAATTTAAGGTGGATAAATATGCATGTTGTTCCATTACCAGTTCTTCCTCTTGTGACTGAAAGAGCTGCCTATTGAAAAGATTATGTTGAGTTGCCAGCTCAGTCCACTGTTTAGGATGTTTCTGGGTAACGTGGAGAAGCAGCTCAGATACAGATTAGCTCAAACTCATTGTGAACCTGCCTACTCAGTCTTGGTAAATGGCCAGATGCTCACAGTCCATCATCTCATGGGTAGGAGGCAAGCAGGATATAGAGAAGTAGCTGTGGTGACAGCTTTCTTACAGTAGTGTCTTCTATGTGAATAATAACTTCTGACATCCTTGGTTTGATCTCTTCTCACCCTTTGCTTCTGTTTATGCCTGGTGCTCTCGGTACACAGGACTTCGAGTTGTGATGTTGAGTGTTTGCAGGCTGATTTCTTTCCATTTGCCTTGGGAATGATGAATTAAAACCTCTTTCCACTGCTGCAGACTTATCTTTCCCTGATTGCTCTTATATTGCATAGGAGCCACCACGCCCTGTACATCCTGCCCCGCTCCCAGAGGCACCACAGCCACCACGCCTGCCCCCTGAAGCTGCCAACACTTCTCTGCCTCAAAAACCACAGCTGAAGCTGGCACGGGTACAGAGCCAGAACGGTATTGTGCTGTCTTGGAGTGTCATAGAAGTGGACCGGAGTTGTGCCAGTGTGGACAGTTACCATCTCTACGCATACCACGAGGACCCGAGTGCTACTATGCCTTCCCAGTGGAAGAAGATAGGGGAGGTGAAGGCCCTTCCACTACCTATGGCATGCACTCTTACTCAGTTTGTGTCTGGCAGCAAATACTACTTCGCAGTCCGAGCTAAGGACATTTATGGCCGCTTCGGACCATTCTGTGACCCCCAATCTACAGATGTGATCTCCTCCCAGAGCAGTTAAACTGGAGTTCTTTGGAGCCTTTAAACCCATCCTACTTCAAAGGGTTACCCTGGTTTTGAGCGGGTTGATCCCATGCATGAAGTTCACTTTTAAATCCACTCTCTGCAGGATTAATTTAGACAGCTGTGCGATACACTACATACATTCAGAACCAAAAGAAAAATAAAGTCTCACTTCCAGCAAGAGAACCTGTTTTTCTGGATAGGTCAAGTCATGGGCCATTCAAAAATTTCATTTTCCTTCTCATGGCAGCTGTTCCACCTAGACATCTACCTACTCTTTATTCAAGGGCACGTTGGATGCCTGGGATTCTGCTTCAGAGTGGGAGCAAAAATATAAATTGCAGTTTTTTTCTGAAGCTGAACTACATCTGTAGTGCCTATTAGGGCACTAACATGAAGGGAAGAACAGATTTGCCTCTTGTACCTAGCTGTCTCTGAGCAGGCTGTGATACGAAACGTGAATCAAGGTCTTGTGTGCTGGAAGATTGAGTGATCTGTTCTTAAATTACCAACAGTAATCAGCTGTCTGAGGAGAGGGAAGGGAACTTTAATCTGGCCAAGGAACCAATGCCTGTGAATTTGGAGGTGGTGTAGTGGGGAAAAGAAATAAATCACCCCACTACTTCCTACCTCTCCTAAATAAGAGCTCTTCTCTAATGTCACCGTCCACCTCCATTCACACTTGGAGCATTCCTAGGACAGACCTGAAACTGGATTATAGAAATCACATTCACCCCTCTCTAGCTCAAATAATTTTTCTGCCTTTCCCCTTATACATCCAGTCCTGATTTTTAGATTTATTTTGTGCCTTAAACAGTAATTTCAGAAATAAATGTAGCCAGATACCTTGTGGTGTTCATTTGCTTGGAGTTACTTCTCCTTTTCCCCCCCTAGCCTTTCATTACTGCTTCTCATTTTCCTGGCCCACAGTGATTTTTTTTCAACAAAGACCAGGAAGTGACATCTACTGATGCTGGACTCATTTTTATCTGTACTTTCAATTAACCCTTCCCTCACTGCAATTAATGAGTCGTTGTTTCTGTTCTGTGAAGAATATTAGAGTGTACAGACGGTATTTTCCACCAGAGCCTTTCCCTCCTGTTCCTTTGGGAAAGCTGTATGCTGCATTTCAGCCAAAGAAACCTATGTGGTGTAGCACCATGAAAGCTTCTACTTGTTTACACTCAGTTTAGATGTTCAGGTGGTAGAAAAATGCACAAAGTTGGCTTCTTAGTCCTCTATCCCAGTCACCTGCCTGCCTCTGCAGAAAACTAACATGCCCAGAGTAGTTTACACACTGGCCCAAAATTTGTGAGCAGCTGCAAATGTTCCTAGAAGCTTTCATGATGCTTCTGAGCTGGGAAATCAAAACAGTGCATCTGCCCCACTATCCTGTTGACATGTTCTTAAACTTTTTTTATGCATAGCCAATTTCTAACACCTGAACAAGAAAGGATATGTAAGATTTTTATTTTGGCATTTTTAAAAACAAGGACAGTGTTTTGTTTCTGTCCAGCAGAACCAAATACTGGATTTAGAAGGGAAAATGTTTGGGCTTTTTTTAGATTTACTTCCCCATCTGACAAAGCTGTAGACTTTACATATTTCTTAATTCCAATACTGGCTGTCTTGAAAAATTGAAATACTAAGCAAGGTTGAAAAAGTCACAGAATACAGCTAGTGAAATAATCTGTGTGATAATAGATTCTTAAGTTGCATTCCCTTCAAGAAAATTATGTGAAAGAAACTCAGTTGTAGACTTTTGTCCATACTACTTTACTGCACTCCTTCATGCAGCTGGGATTGTTGCTTCCGTCAGGTGAGTAACAAATACTGTCAGTATGGGAGTTGTATTGATTTGGGTAAGCAGAAATTCTATCTAAATCCGTGTATCATGAGAGAAGGGTTGCACTGAATCTCATGTATGAAAAGTGTTTAACTTTTCCTTTGAATAACAGTTGTCCCCATATTGCTGGTGCCAATGATCAGTAATGCCTTGATTTTTTCTATGTGGAATTAAATGTTTTCTCTGCCTATTTCAAGGAATAATTAATAGTTCATTTACACTACTTATGAAAAGTTGAGTTATTATAAAGGAAGTTCTGTAGTAGAGGTTTAGAGCAATTTCTTCCAGTTGGTGGCTGTTGAAGCATCAGTTTAATGTCTTTGAGTTGGTACTAAAGGGCTGTTGGCCATATCAGTACAGTGGGGTTTTTATAATTTGAAAGTTAAAATAAATGTTAGAATCCAGTCTGGAATTTATGCTGCTTACTGAATTTTGATTCCAGCCTCAGCTATACATGAGCTCTTCTATAGTTTGTGCTTGCTCTTAGATCACAGTTGTTACTAGCTTTGTCTTGCTTGGGATAGGCGGGTGGTGAGAATCCTGTGTCACAATTTGTTTTCCTTTCTCCGGTGGATGTAATAGTTGGGATGGCCTGATACTGTGTGGAGGTTTTGTGGACTGCATCTTTAGAGAAAAGACTCATCTTTATTTACTAAAGAAAGATGTTCTCAACAGAGTTGACACTGGCTTCTTGCTTAATAGTATCTTCTGTTACATATGGCAGAGCGCAGCTCATTTTTTTTAATAGATAAGCAAGTTAGCTACTGTTTGCTAAGTGAGGCCGTTGCAGTTGTGGAGTGAAAGCAGACATCTCTCATTGCAGCAGAGATGTTAAGATCCAATTTCAGGATCTTAAGCAAGTGCTGGTGGCTAAGTACATGATAAAGCATAGCTTGATTTTTCAGATGCCTTGCTCAGCTTGGAGACGTTGCAGGTAGTGGTTCTTAACACTGATGTGCAGAGAACTTTTGCCACTTCTGTAAAACTGTTTCACTGTGGAACAGATATCTGCAGTGAGTACTTACCCCTTATGCTAATGAATGGGAGTATTGCTTAACTCAAATGGCACTTTTCCCAATGTTTTTGAGTGACTGTTTTTTATTTATCATTTAATCTCCCAGAAACAATAAAAATATTGAGAAACTGAATTTCCTCCACTAACACGTTCAGAAATAACTGGTTTCATTTAGTAAAATTTATTTGGAAGTGTTACCAAAATATCTGGGAACATTCAGCACAGGTCTGTTAATACTGTGCTTTAGACTGGAGTCATCATAGAAGTGTTGGTTACCGAGGATTCTAGTATTTCATTTTTAAATATGCTACAAGTCTCTACACAGCTTTCAGTTGGTAGACTAGACTAGAACAGTTCAGTTGGAAGGGATCTGCAGAGATCATGAAGTCCAAATGGCTGACCACTTCAGGGCCACAACCGAGTTAAAGCATGTTATTAGGGACATTATCTACATGCCTCCCTGTTCCTAAAGCAAGTTTTTCCATATGTATTTTCAGTACCCTAGTATAAATTGTACCTGGCTAATGAGTTGTGCTGGTACCACTGGGTGCATGACATATTAGCTGCACCACCTCAGATCTAGTTCTTCATGTTTTGGCAAACACCGCACTGATTCTACTACAGTTTTTATTTTCATCATGTTTCTGGTTTGGTTTAGGTTTGATTTGTGCCCACAGGCAAGAAGTAACTTAAGTTAGTTCTGTTTCTGGTTGGAAGGAAGCCCTCCTGTGGAGTGCTGGTGGCAAAATGCCATTCTTTTCCACCGAGTTCCTCCTAGTTACAGCTTCACTGACCTCCTTTATTTCAGTACAAGTCTTAAAAAGCTTTACTGGATTCAAATAGCTAAACCTTTGGAAGGGTGTAGACTGTAGATGTAGCATGTGTACTGCAGCTGCAGTAACAACTCAAGAAGATGTAAGGGTGCGGAAGCAGGTTCCTTTCAGCCTGTGTTTACTTCTGTGCTCTTTACTTCTCAGCTCTGCTTCTTTCAGTGTGCTTGCTACCCTTTAACATGTTAGATCACTGAGCACTAGCAGTGACGCACTCACACACCCAACATTTTTAGCACAAGGCTGGAAATGCCCATGGTGTCTTCCCTGTAAAAATAAGGGTCTTATCCTGCTTCCTTTGAAAATAATGGCAAAACCCCCTCGTGCCTTCAGTGGGAGCTTGATTGGGGCCCAATAGTAGGATCTGAGCACTGTTTTACACTATAACAAAATATCCATACACTTCTTTCTTTATGCTGTTTGTCTTAAGAGTCCACTAAATCAGAATCTGTATTATATGTAGGGACCAGGTCAGATGTGTTCTTGCTCCCCAAACAGCCATTCCCCGGTTCTAGACTATTGTATACACTGTACAAAATCAAGCTGTGATTCTGCCTTCTTATAAACTTCAGTATTTTCATTTGGTCAAAAATATCTATCCAGATTTTTTAAAATAGAAGCTTGATATATTAAATATATATTTTTTTAATTTGTTAGTTGGGGCAGGGGCGAGCATTGTATGAAAACACTGGAGAGTGGAGTTCAAATGACAATGACTGTGCCGCCCTGCCACCACATCTGTGTTCCCTTCTGAATAACTTCTGAGGGGCTAAGAAATTGCTAAGAAAAAGCAAATGAATTGATCTTTTCCTCCTTTCTGCCCACCTGTTAGAATGCATCTTTATTTCTCATTGTCATTGCACAGGCTAAGCATTCCTTTTTGTTTTGTTTTGTTCTAATATATATTATATGCACACACACATATATTTATATATATTTGAAGTGCTGTCTTAATTTAATGGAGTATATCTGTAAATAAGACAACTGGGTAGTAACTGTTTGGGGAGTCCTGTTCAGCTGTAGTAAGTTCTTTGCTGTTGAGTCAAACATGCAAAATCCTTTGCAAGTAGCTCCATCCGACTTCTTGTTTTGCTTTGCAGCTGGACTTGTAAATACAAAAGGACTGCTTTTATGTCCAATTTAAACTGGGCAGTTGCAAATTCTCCCCATTTTTGTATGTACTGTAGATTAGTGTGTGTGTACGTGTTAACTGTAGTGGGGTTTTGTCTGACAAGCCTGAAATTTATACTTTGAAATAAACTACTGGGTTTTTAACGTTTTGAGTCATCTGTGCTTAGTTCCAGACATCTCAGGTGACAGAGCACCACGTGTGTGTGCTCATGCTCTCCAGCCATGCTGCCTCGTGGAGGATGGGGCAGTGCCAGCTTTTCAGTTCTGCAGTCACAGTGCCACTTTGGTCAAGTAATGTCCACAGCAGTGATGTGGCTCCAGGTCATTCCTAGAAAGCCAGCTGCATGATGCTGCTCCTCCAGGCTTCCCACCAGAGCAGAAATTAAAGCAATATGCTAAGTTCTAGAAAGTTGCAAAGAGGGGCTACCAGACATTCCTAAGAGTTGCACATACTTAACCCTGACTGAGTGCCGAGCCCACACTTGAAGGGCAGCATCATTAACCTACAGTGGTAATGGTTCCCTGGCACTTAGTAAAACTGGCGTCAAGTCACTGACTGAAAGACTCTGTATGGACTCATGTTAAGTGATGGCTGAATACAATCACACTTGAAAGTCCAGACTTTCTGCCTGTTTAGAACTGACTGTTCAGAATACTTGTCTACTTTCTGCCTCTAGTTTGGACCATTACTTTCAGTAAAACATTAGCTTAAGCACTTTGCTCAAGCAGTGTTACAATTGCAGCTTGTGTAGGTGCTGTGCTAGGGATAGGAGCTGTGTCCCAGTCGCTGTGGCTGCATTCAGCCTGAGCCGGGCTGTTGATGGAGGAAGGACAGGGTGCAGTACAGCAAGCATGTGGTGATCTTGAACCCAGCACACCCATTAACAGCAAAAGTGTCATATGGGTTAGTTTTACGGCTCACAAGGTCCCATTTATGTAAATACTTAATCAGAGAAAAGGGCTCTTCAAAGCAGAACTCTGTTTTCCCACTGAGTTGAAAAGCACAAGGCCATTCCTGTCATAGGGTAGGAGGCTCATGGTGTGAGAAGGGAGCTTACGAAGTGGCATCTCAGCTGCTGACTGCATCCATGCACAGGGAAGCATCCACATGTACCCCAGCGAAAAACAGTCTAACACAGGAAGCTATGACTAGTTCACTGGTCCCTATGGACTGATATTGAAACAATGCACTTCTATTTGTGCTTTTTGTTTTCAAATATAAAAATGGGAAAAGTTGGCAGTAAGTACCATCTCTCCTGTTGCTTAGGAGTAACAGAATTCCTCCGACTGCTCTCTGCTTCCATCTCAGCGAGCTGCTGCTTCCCAGCAGGTTCCTCCAGCACCGGCTACCTCCTCTCCTGCAGGTGGGGTCCTCTGAGGTACAGAGCCAGTCTGGTTCCACCTATGCCTGCTGCTTGGCAGCAGCCTTTGCCCACTTACAGGAGTTGGAAATGCACCTCAAGGCAGCAATCAGGAGCAAACATCTGAAGGCTGCACAGCGTTCATATTTGGTGTTTATTCTGAAAGCACCAAGCCCGCTGCCCTGTAAGGATGGAGCCTGCCCTTGTCACAGCAAGGGCTCACGGCACTGACCAACCGGGCAGAGGCAGCTGCCCTTGATCAAGGGCCAGCAGGAACTACATCCACACGCTCCAAGCAAAGACAAGCTGAGTAGCACATGCGGGCACAGCATCCTCCCCAAACTGTCAGTAGGGCCATCTCCTCCCCCCCCACCTCGGGGAAAGACACTTGTGCAGCACTATCTCTTCGCTCATATGTGGCATTAAGGGAACATCATGTTTATTCTCCGTCCAACAGCAGAACAGCTGAATGTACAGCAATTTTATGTGTACCCCTGCAGCCACTTAGTCCTCATGCAGTGCAGATGCCCTCTGTAGCCTCTTACGTACTTCCTCCTGCTCCAGCAAATAAATTATTTCATTCTCTGCACTGATTTTGAGCCTCAGCAAAACCTGCCTTATTAATTTCTGGTCTCCCTTGCCCCTTGGCAGAAATCAAGCACAATGTGACAGCCAGATATTTAGGGCAAAGTGTCAGTCAATATGCAGTAACCTACTTCCTTCCCCAGCCCTTGCCAAAACCTCACACACTTCTGCCTACATGATTTGGGGTGGTACTGTGCTCTGTTTAAATTGGACTGTCAAGGCCAAGAGGAAAGAGCTGTTTATTTGTTGTGTATGTAATTAAGAAGGCTCAGTTACCTGCTATGGAGAACATGGCTGTGACTCTTTGACAGTAACATTCCCCGCTGATAAGCAACTTGCAGCACATTGCCAGCACTGCTCAGACTAAAGGCAGCCATGAAGCCAGCACAGAGGTAAAGCCACGAGGCTCAGACCAGTCCTGGAGACAGCTTCTATGTCTAGACACAGATCACTTCTATGACTGCACAGCAGTTCATTCGTGCTCTGGGAGCGACTGAGATGATGCTCAGATGGACAAAGGGCAGCACGGCGCCTGTTGTTTCCCATCCATCCCAGCTGAAGGGCCACCCAGACAGCCCAGAGGAGCAGAGCATGTGCTGTGCCACACAGAGCAGGAGAGGGGCAGGCAAGGCGTGGGGATGTGGACATCCAGCTGGATTTATTACACACAGGAATGAAAGTTTCCGTGAAAAAAAGTAAAATCCCATTTTGGAATATCAATGCTGATTTTACAAGATTGGCCTCATGGTGACAAATTTGAAGTTGTATGATTCAGGCAGGCCCTGATGGTGTGTGTTGTTGAACCGCCTCCAAGTGAAGACCGGGAGACCACCCTGCACTGGGGGACCATTGATGGCGGTGGCCGTGAATGCTGAGGCCAGGCGGAAATCTGACACCTGCAATAGAGGACAGAATGGTTGGGTGGTGTTTGACATGCACCCATCCCATAGCAGAAACAGCTCAGATTTGGTAACAAACACCACAGCAAAGAAAAGGAGCAAGGGGAAACGCATGCTGCTCAGGCAGAATTCCTCCCTGCACACAGGTATCTTCAGCCACAAAGGCAGTAGTGAAGGGGCAGCAGAAAGCACACACAGCCCTTCACACTATCCAGGGTGAGAGCAGCGCATCCACTTTCACAGCATTCCTCTCTGTGCCTGGGCACCCCAAAAGGCCATGAAGGCAGCCTAAGATGATCTAGCATGCTCTGCTGTGTTAAGCTCTTCATCCATCCCTTGGAAACTGTCAGACAAGGGCAGCACAGTTACACAACTGCCTGGAGCCCCCCACTCTGTTTCTTCATTACCTCCCAGTACAGCCCAGCCCAGTCTAACTGGTGTCAAAGGCACCTGCTCCCTTGCCAGACACCTCTATACAGCAGTTTTCTGGTTTCACAATGTAACAACAGGGAGCTCCTGCTGGCCACCGCAGCAAGCAGGCAGGCTAGCCTGGGCTCGAGCAAGCTGAGAGGAGACATTCAGCTCTGGTAGCACCCAAGGGGGCTCCCATTCCAGTCTTCAAACTCAACCCCAAGAAGGTGGCTGGACCTCGCAGGATCTACCAGAATGCCAGGGCTGAACAGCTGTACATACAGGTGTTGCCCTTCGCAGTGAAAAAACCACACAGGCTGCCCAGAAGAACTGCAGCTTTCTCCAACACAGTGGGTCCGAGGATTTCCCCATGTTTCCTTCCTTAAAAAAAGTGATCCTTGGCAAACTTTGCTCAAAGCAGTTTTGCAGAGAGGTGAAGACATGGAGCAGGGTGATTCACTGAAGAGCAAGGCTTTTGTAAAGGTAAAATTAAAAGGAGGATAAAGACACATTCTTGTGGGCTCTGGGGACGCAACCAAGCAGCCTCCATGACCAAGAGGCCCAGAGTGTGCAGCAATCATTTTCTCTACCTTCCTCCAAGCAATGTAAGGACTCATTTCAACCTTCGCTCAGGCTCATCCTGCTGCAAAGCTTCAGGGCTTAGCCCCTAAACAAAACAGGTTCCCATGGACAACATTCTTCTGCGTATTTCCCTGTGCACCCTCTGCAACACCAGTGCACCAGGACTGGTGTCAGGGTGAGGAGCAGTACTGGGACAGAGTGAAGAGATGAAGCAGGTCTGGCCATGCCCACCCCAATGCAGGAAAACACACCACAGGTGTGAGAAGAGCACAAAGAGACTGCAGCAAACATTTGGCAGAGACAGAAATTGGGGTTATTTACCTTGGAGTCATAGCAGCCTGCAGGCACTGGGAAGGAAGGATTCAGGTCTTCTCGGCAGCAAATGGTGTTGCAGGGATTGTGTTCAGCGTAAGGATCGTGCTGGTAATCTGGGGAGAAATGGTGCAGGCAGGGAAGAAAAGGAAACAAATGACTCCCTTTACCCAAAGTCCTCTACTTCTCAAGTCCCCAAACCCTTAGTAAGTACACAGTTTATCACATTGCTTTCATACTTCTCACCAGGTTTCAGATAGAAACCAGTGCTTGTGTAAAGGCAAGTTCCAAATCTAAGTCAATTTAGCTATTTCTACATCCAAGGGGCACTGCTGCCCACCTCTAACCACAAACACCCCTAATTCCATGGGACAAAAGTTTGCAGGAATTTCATGACTCCTCAAAAAAGCAGACCAGAAAGGAGTGGGAGGCAAGGAACAAAGAGTGCAGCAGTGAGAGCCTTCCTGTTCCTGTTCTGGAACAAAGTAAGCAGAAGGAGCAAAGCCTTCAAATACCCACTGCAGTAGCTGCAAGAGGGAAGAAGGACAAGTCTTAACACTTGCGAGCATGCTGCTACTCATAACCCAATCAGTAGCAATACCACACCCTGGGAGAGGCCTCTCAATGCCCAAGCGCAGTAATCAGTGTGCTCCCTGTAATTGGGAATCAAAATATAGCATCCAAAGCTATTTGTACTGAGAGACGGGCTTAGGCAGAAGTTAATTATGCTGGTTTTAATCCAGTAACAAGAACCCTGTCAGGGAAAAACGGAGCAGAGCATTACCTACTGAAGACTCTCCTTCCTGGACTGCGGGAGCTGAAAGGGTGGGCAGAAGCCAAACTCACTTCAAGTTTCTGCACTTACAGCAGTGTAACTAATCTAAACTAAGTAACACTTTTCACTATAATAAAAGTAAATTAACACTGCTTTTTTATGATCAGCTCCAAAACACAAGAATATATTTCTTACTGTTATATCTCATGATGTACTTCATGCTTTCTAAGTTGGTCACCTTGCCCTGGTCTCGACGGAAAATTTTTGCTCGTGGCGCAAGCTCATACGAGAAATCCAGCCCATACTTCTCAACATATGACGCATACCCACTGAGATTGTAAATCTTCTGATGGAAAGGAATATTGTATGAAGGCCAGTAACCTGCAAGGGAAACAAATAACCTGTTAGACAATTGGAAAAGCTGAACACTCTTGCTTGAATAAAAGCAAAAAAAAAAAAACCCAACACATATTCCATGGTGCGTTGCCTTAACAGCATTTCGAGGAACAACACGTCAAACTGGTTTGAAAGAAACAAAATAAGGCAACAGATCAACTGGAATGACTGGGGTTGACTCCCTGCGTAACACACACAGGCAACCCGCCCCCAGACTTCCACCCTGAGGACTCATCCTGCAGAGCAGCTGAGATCAGACTTGCAGGAGCCTGAGGTAAAGACACAGATCAGCTACAGCCCTCCTGTAGAGGTTACACTCCTCCGGGGCTTTGCAAGGAAAGGTCTTTTCCTGCCACCAAGCTTTGCTGCATGAGAAGTTAGTGAATGTGCTCCCTTTTCTCCCTTCTTCCCAACTCACCAAGATGCAATAATGCACCGTGCAATGAAGACAGACGGCAACTAAAAAGAATAAATAAAAACTCCTAAACAAACACATTCGTAACAGAGCATGGGTCCCAAAGCAGCAGTTAGAAAGAGAGACCTGGGGAGAAACAAACAAAAACTGGAGATGAACAGATATATAGGAACCATGAGGCAAGCAGGGGTGAGCAGGAGACAGGTCTGCAGAGAACACACAGATGCGCTACTGAGCAGTGGAGACTGGAAAGCTGTGGCTGCGCAGAGGGTAAGGAGATGCGGGGGTAGATGCACACTTGCCACTTGAGGGTTAAGAAGCAGTTGACCTAAGCAGAGTGAAAAGCTCTTCTGCATCCCAGGCTCTGCAAGACTACAGAATCCACGCAGACAGTGCAGTATTCAGCCTAAGACAGGCTTAACCTAGGGATGACAGTGTGGGAACGGAGGGATGTTCACACAAGGCCTTCTAACTTGAACCTCAGTACTAGTGTTCAATAAGCCCTTTCCATGCACAGAGCACACTCAGCTAGCACAAAGACATGGTTTTCCTAAGCCAGCAAACACTACAGGAGCTATTACCTTTCCGGAGAACATTTGTTTGATCAGAATATTCCACAAGGGTTGGGATCTGCTCAACAATGTACAATGCACCATCATCTAGGCTCTTCTGTAGCTTGACCTTCTTCAGGTCCAGCACCATGTACTGATTGTTGTAGGTCCCTAAGTATGAGAACAAAGAGTTACATGGCCTGTCTGGGAAAGAGAAGGAGCGTGAGGGGGGGAAGGAACACATTCTTTCTCTCAAGGTTCAAGTGAAAGTGTACTTACCAGAGTTGCATTTTGAAAAGGTTTCTGCCCAAGCTTTGCCATTGTCTGCCATCATGTTAGCAATGCGGACCCTCTGCCAAGCAAACAGGGATTCAGGCACCACTTGCTTGATGAGGGTTTGGTTGAACACACTGTTGGTGGTCTGCAACATTATCAAGCCACTGCCTAGTATGTAAAAGTCGTCCAGGGACACTAAAAAGCCTTAAATAACAATGACACAAAAATTGTTATCTCTGAACCCTTGTTGTATTCACAGAACAAAGCAATCCAAGACAGAATGACATAAAGGAGAGTGCATGTGCAACTTTTAAATAAAGCCATAAAAATATTAAAGATGAGATGGCAATTTCTGCTAGCACTATACACCCATTGTCAGCACAGTTTCTCCCTTGTCATGCTTTCAACAGACACAACTTCCTTTGTTTGGAGCATTTGTTTTCAGGTTTGTTTCTCACATTTTCCCACTTGTTTCCCTTTCACATGTCAAGCAGTGGCTATTTCCAGGAATTACATGGTGTACAAGTGGTTGTTTCTAACAAAGAAGTTTCTTCAAAAAACAAAACAAAAAAAAAAACAAAACAAAACAAAAAACACACACAAAAAAAAGTAACACAACTCCACAAACAAATCTTCATCAACCAGTTTTCAGAGTTTTTTATTTCTTTGTTCTGAATGAATCTTCTCTGGACTAAATGAGCTAAGCAGAAAAGTCTTTCTTCTTAATCTTTTCCAATCTAACTATTCTAAAAAATGTCTCCAAGAAACAGTGGCAACTCAAATTACAAGGTACCTCCTGCATGTGAGAGAAAGTTCTACCTACTCTTGTCTGCGATGTGTCGCCATTGAAAGCCAAGCCGAACTCAATGCCGCCATGACTCTGAGCAGGATCCCTTCCCAGGCTACATGCCAATAGAAGCATTAGTCCCAACTGCAGCAGAATTGCAAATGTCAGCTGTAAAGCCATGGGTAGCATGGCAACTATTTACAAAGAAGAAATAATTTGAGATTCTCCAGAGGATACAGAGCTGGCAGTCACCAGGCTGGGGAAATGTGGTTAATTGAGCTGCTGATGGAAAAGTCATCCAGAACCTGGTCTCTTGCTAGTCAGCTTTTAGTGACATCACTCTTTTTCAAAGAGTACGAAATGCTAAAATTGTGTAATAGCCTAATACTTACACTCCACTGCAACATCTACAGAAGGCCTCATTAATACGCTCTGCAAACAAAGCAAGGCCAGTAACCTGTGAGAGCCAGAAAAACAACTCAGTCCTGCCTCTTGTCCTTGGCTCTCACCAAAAGGCAGACCTCCTTCCAGCAATGCTTAAGGGCTTCACTTCAGCAAAAACTTTTTTAAGTCCCAAGACCTCAAATCAGAACAGGTCCAGGAAAATATACTTTATAGTCACCTGTTCTCTAAAGACACACTGGTATAGAACAGGGAGAGCACCCTGGCAGACTGTGGGTCCTACTACTTTATTCTCAGAAACAGCAGCAATAAATAAAGCATACAAATAGCAAAACTATGTCAAGTAAATAAGGACAAGAAAGGAAACACTCTAAATCTGGCTCTGTCGGACTATTTTATACCAAGAACTATCTACTCCAGAGATAAGCTGTTGCATAATAAGTCATGTGCTTGTCCAAAGAGAACAGAAATGGAGCTGGTAAACAACTGATTCCAACACAGCACCAATGCCCATGTGGGTACCAGCGCTAAGTGACCCACTTCAAAATAAACTGAATAGCTTTTTCATCTTTTTCAAACCAACTTAAACTGAGAAGCTGAATTAACTGAAGTGTGAACTCTAATGTAGACCTCACCCAGGCATTAAGCAACAATACATCCCACATGACCTACCTACCGTAGGTCCCATGTGACCAACACGGGTAGGGCCCTTCCAGCCCCTACTGAGGGGTTCCGAGATTCTGTAAGTTGCAAAGCTAAACTGAGCTGAAAAAAAGTGGCTTTTATTTCTAGGCCTTACTATTTACCAAGTTTCCTCCTGCACTGCTTTTACAATACTATGTGCCGTCCGTGATACGTCATTACTAGCTCAATTATCCAGAGACAACATATGTCATTACGACTTAGGGTACAGGCACTCCTGAGGCAACAGGAAGTTAAACACGTATGACAGATTTACCATGGACAAAGACAGCCACAAAAATAAACCCAGGTGAAGTCTATAGATATCAAGAGCTATTTGATATCCTCATGTCCTTCTCATTTTTTTTCACCATGTACAAGAATCTGCTGTAATTGAAACTGTCTTCCAGGTAAACTGTACAAAGAGATAACAGTGACATATTTTCTCTGTAAATCCATCTCTCATTTTTATCAGTTACTCTCAATCTTAATTTTTTTTTTCCCTCTCCCTCTTTCAATTGACCTGACTCTTCCTACACAAAAACAAATAAAAGCACTTCTGATTGCATTTTCAGGGCCCTAATCATTAGATGCAGTTTCTGGAATACCGAAGTTTCTAGAGTCTGGAGCTTCACTCACAGTACTATTAATTAGCCAAGCAAAACAAAACACTTTTTGAAATCTGAGCCATAGAGTTCCCTGGGGAGCACACTGCATAGCATGCAGGGGTACCATGCTCCTGATAGCTATTGTTCCAAAAGAGGTAGCAGCTGCTTTATCAACCAGATGGCATCCCCCTTTTCTGGTATTTTAAAAGGTCGTTGTGCTCATTGGTGTACAGAAAGGTGCAGTATTACAGTCTGAAAGTCAGAGACAGGATGTCTAGACATTACCTCCCAGGGATGAGAGTAGCTCCTGGCCACAATGTCCACTGCTCTGGGCTACAGGCACATTTAACAGTGGGAAAGGAGCTGCCTTCTTTGTCTGAATTTTCTTAATCCCACTAGGAGCTGCTTTTCCCACTAGGAGCTGCTTTTCCAAGACTGCACAGCCAGCTTCATTTCACTTGCAAACCTCTCCCAGGCACTAAGCAATAGTACATACCATGCCAGAGATGAGATAACAGAGCCATCAAGTGGATCAGATACTTTTCCCTGCTCATCCCCAGGTTTTAGGTACATATTGAAGGGAGCTGGTAAGCAAGAAATAGTTTGGCAAAATTCATGAGCAGAGGAGAATTTGCCAGTCCACTGAATACAAGGCCTAATGCCCTTTCAATGTGTTGTTCCTCCTCAAAGCAAGGACATCTTGGACATCTTTCCTCTTCATCCTTCCTCAACAGCACAAAGCCATGCATCGGAATGGCCTTGTGCTATCTCATGCCTGTCTCAACCAAGGAAGATCCTGACAGCAGGCCAAAGGTGCAAAGCTGCTATGAAGTTCTTAATTGTTGTGTTTGAGCAACTAGAAACAGAACAAGACTGCAGCTCATCTAGAAAAAGGGGGTCACTATCCAACCCATCATGCTTGGGTCCAAATGGTAGGTTCCCTTTTCTAAATGGGGCTCAAGACTAACAACAAGCAGATGGGGATTATGGAAACCTATCTTCTCTTGCTGCCCAAGGAAACCAACAACTTTCAATAGCTAATAGGGCTCATTACTTCCTATGGCTCAGTGAGGCAGTACAGAACAGTGACTGCACAGTTGGGGCATTTTGATTGCTCTTAGCTCTGCTGTTTTACTGGACTTGTCCTGCACCTGTCTATCTACTCCATGGCATCACATTTGTTATCCCTCCAAATGAGCATAGTTTCACTAACAGCTGTGAATAACCATAACATGGCCTGTATCTTTCTGCTGTGAAGAAACTCACTAGCTACATTGCGTACTTAAAGTCTCAACAGAACACTGATGTCAGAGTTGAGTCATTCCTCCCTTCCAGAGATTTGCACAGCTGTTCTGCATGTAGCTCTTTACATATGCTTTCAACAGAAAAGAAAGTTAAAAGTGTGAGCAAGGGTTCAAGTGAGGTTTAGGATTAGCATGGAAATGAGCTGCAGGTGGATGAATCCTTCTCCAAAAGCAGGGCTTACTATTCCCATTCCCACATGATAGTTTCTCCCCCCCCCTCCACTCCCCCAGTGCTACCGTTGCTCTGCGAGGAGGAGAGCAGCAAGGAGACAAACTGAAGCAGCACGGTTTGAGCATGCTGGCAAGAACTGCTGGGGCAGAAGAGATGGACTCTGCAGTTCGAGGCTGTTCTCCTATCTACTGAGTCTCAACAAAGGAGAGGAAGCACAAGGCCTTACAGCTGTAGCATAATGCATAAGTTGTTCTACATCATGTTTAGTTAATAGGTTTAGATCCTCAAAACTGAGTAATAACAAATAGATTTTTACAGTGTAATTTCACAATCTTGCCTGTCTTTTGAAAATCAGTAAATAAACTGAAAAATTTTACTCCATGATTCCAGGAGAAATCAGGGAATTGGCACATTCCTTCTCAGAATACAAGCATCTCCTTGAAGTGTTTCCGACACAGCTTTTGGACAGTTTTACTTCATAACCAGACTACCAGGTGACAGAAATTTATGAATTCCTCAGTTGTCATTGAAGGCCCGGAAAGAAACCTGCCTCTTAACACTTTGTCTCCCTCCAAAGTCACTACTTCTATGTTCAAGAGGATCGGGTAGGGTATTATTCAGTTGAGCTTACCAAGAACCAGTAAAAATGTCTCAGATAGTACCTGTCAGGGCAGAGAAGAAGAGCAAGAACTTGCATGCAGGGAGAAGGTACAATGGCCAAGCTGAACCATGGCCAGGGCCTGTGAATTCCATAGTCAGATGCCCTGAAAATCTACAGCTTCATCTGATTATAACACAGAGCATAGGAACCTCTCAGTCCCCTCCTTCCTGCATGATGTCCTGAGGTCACTACCAGGCCAGCGGCTTCACAGCTTGATCACCTTCCGTAGAACTGCACGTTTGTGAGCTACACCCACAGCTAACCTGATTTGCTGCAGTCAGTGGATAGTGCTCACTTAGCTTGCGGTGCTGCCTTGTAATTAGGCGGCTAGCGAGTGCACTTGTCATACCACAGCTCTCTCAAACTCCACTGCAGCCATGGGAACTATGTTTTGCAACAGCTCTTACTAAATTCTGTTGGTAGAAGTAAACTTCACCATATCACTAAGTCAGAGTCCAGCTGGAACTGGCAAACTTCAAAATAAGCCCTCTCTTACAAGTCCCTGCAGACTCCAGGCTCAGGGAAGCACACTGGGATTCTGTACAGTAACAAACAGACTCAGATCATTTTAGCACAGCAGCAGCTGATTTTCAGGTACCTTCCATACAGTGTGGTTTATTTTCCTGTCAAAACATAAGTATTTCACTCTGCATTAAGAATCCACAAAAGGAATAACACAATCAGCATATACACCCACTAACAAAACAGTAATATTAAATAATAATAAAAGTCACTCTGCATGGCCGATCCTGATCCCAATCTTGAATCTACAGCACAGCACAGTATGCAGTAGCTAGAAAACACGTTTACACTCTCTAGAAGAACAGCACTATGCACAGCAGTATTTTTTCTGAGAGCTACGAGATCCAGAATGACCTCTGATACTTTCAGGTGATGAAGAGAGCTCAGGCCTTTACAGCCTTTACTTCCTACCAGGTTACACATGCTCCACAAAATTCCTTCTGAAAAGCACTGAAATTCCTCAGACACTCCATGCTCCTGAAAGGCTGTTTGTTTTACAAACATTTGCCAAAATTCTTCTAACTCCTTCCTTAAAGTGAAAATCACAGAACAAGTTATATTCCTGTGGATCAATTGAGGAAGGTCAGAACCCCTTGCCTCCACAGGAAGGCAAGTACAGTAATTAATCAAAGCACAGACTCAAACCATCAGCCAATACAATTTCATCAGAATCAGATAACCTCCTACTGCACACACTTTGCTTTAAAAAGTTGAAGACTGAGTGCTTGGCAATTTTTTATTTTGAAATTCCACCTTTAAAAACGTATGCGTTGCTGACACATACAAAGAGTCCTACATTTGTTCTTGTGTTTTTTTCCCCGTGTTTTTCAGTACTACGCTAAGCTGCTTAGAGTACATGTTATACCACTGAAATATTCAGTGCTGGCAATTTCTTCAGGAAACTTGAGAATACTATTTCCTGCCTAATCTTCCCAAGAGGGATTGGAAGTGTTCTTGCTGGATATATTTCTGACACATGAAATACGCGTAAAAACACTCCCCTTTGCCACATTAATAAAGAAGCTGCAAGAGGAGAACAAAACGACTGGAAGTTTGCTCACCCAACATTAAAGAAGTCTCTGCAATTCCTAACAGCTACTGTTTGATAATCTCCAAGCAACAGTCATGCCACAGTGCTACACAGAACTGTTCAAAACTGCACTATCACCAGACACGTGAATGCCATTGACAAGGTTAGAAGTTCAGTAGTTGAAATGACTTTGCACTACACAAAGCAAGATCTAAAGTAGCTTGCCTGCGTTGCAAGTAGTAGAATATTCAACTAGTACTGCTCTGAGAGCTGAATGTGATTAACCAACAGCAAAAAATACAAGATGTTCCAAACTGAAAATTGGATAAGACATTTTGTCCTCTCAGTGGCTTGTGAGATGTCTTTTTTTTTGACATTACCTGGGTAACTGCTGAATGAGACACGGTTGGTGCTAGTGTATGGATCAACTATATTGAAGTTCCAATGCTTATATATTCTCAGTGTGGCTGCATATGTAAACCAGCTGGAATGGGCAAAATATATGTTCTCATATCCAGGTAAAACCTGGAAAACAAACAGAATGATGAACCATTTCAGGTCCTATTATACCTTGTGTGTTTTGTATTTGAAAGAAACTGGGAGAACAACTTGTTTTAAGTAGCTTAACAAACTGCACTGTTCAAGAAGGAGCAGATTCTTGTGCCATTTAACTGTGCACTAAACAATGAATTTTTGACACCTTTGGAAATAATTCCTGTTCATGTGTTGTTTTCAAATAATTAGTTGCCATTGTTCAAAATTAAACAATTTAGGTCTTTTTAGGACACCTGTGTCACAAGACATGTTTTCTTTCCCCAGTTTACTCTTGAATACTTGTGTTGATGCATTCAAATCAGCTCTCTGCAAACATATCAAATATTAACTTAGAACATTCTCTTTCTCTGTAAATACCTCTGAGAAATTATGAAGTACAGAACAAAATGCAAGTACATTTATTCTGAAAAGGTAAATGCATATTGATAGTACATCTTAAACAGTTTCCCTGGTTCTAGGATTTACTGCTAGTTCAAACCTCTTGCTGTAGGCAATTTAAGATGTATATTTTTGCTCTGGGTTACAGATCTCCGTACACTGCCCAGGTTATTGATAGTTTTAGCTGAATAAATTAATTGCAGCCACGATGTATCAGACGTTTACATTCAAAGCATTTTAATCCATCACTACTCTCACTGGAAAGCTATCAAGAACATCACTGCTAACACTAAGTAAACTTCTTTTATGAGGGCTGTTGTGAAAGCAATGCCTCCTATTTTATCATGGTGGCCCACAGCTTCAGGGACAGATGGTGGTGGTACGGCAGTAGAGGCTGAACCTTCCCCCAGTATTGTTACATTTTGTTGCAGTGCGACAGAGGGCAGCAGAGGGGCAGTCTGACAAAATGGCATCTGACATGGAAGTGCGTGTGAAGCAAAGGTGTGTCACTGAATTCCTGCATGTGGAAAAATGGCACTCATTGACATTTATCGCTGATTGCTGAACGGCTATAGAGACCAAACAGTGGATGTAAGCACATCACGGCAGTGGGTGGTGCATTTCAGCACTGGCAACAGTGAAGAGAAAGACAAGACGCATTCCAGATGGCCACACACAGATCTCACACCACAAAACGAAGAGAGTCTCAATCAGCTCATCTGCACAAATCAGCAGATTTCGACCAGGGAACTGGGTACGGAGCTGAATACTGACTTCAGTGTGTTGGAAACAATGGCGGCAATGTTGGAATACCAGAAAGTTTGCACCAGGTAGGTCCCATAAATGCTCAACCAAGAACAGAAAAAACACCACGCGCAAATTTGTCAGGACCTATTGAACCAATACGAGGCTGATGGTGACAGCTTCCTAAATCACATCACTACTGGTGATGAGACACAGTGTCACCACTGTGAGCCAGAATCAAAACAGTCCATGGAGTGGTGACGTGAATTCCACTTCAAATAACAAGTTCCCAGACGCAGCCCTCAGCAGGTAAAGTGATGTGCACTGCCTTTTGGGATAGAAAAGAGGTGGTCCTTCTGAATTTCCTCGAACTCAAACAAACCATCAACTGAATGCTACACTGCAATGCTGACTAAGCTGAAGGCTCAAACTTACAGAGTCAGGCTAGAGGACAACCTTCCTCTTGCAACACAGTACTGCCAGGCTCCATACCAGTTTTAAGACCATGGAGTATACAACCAGTTATGGCTGGACTGTTCTACCAGACCCACCACATAATCCAGATTTGGTGCCTTCTGACTTCCATCTGTTTGTGCCAAGGAAATATTGACTGCATGGGCTACGCTTTCCTAGCAATGACACTGTCATAGCAGGTGTCAAACAATGGGTCACCTCTGCTGATTTTTACAAGCATAGCATGCAGGCTCTTGTTCATTGCTGGTGAAAATGCATAGCTAATGGTGGTGACTATGTTGAAAAATAATATTTCACAGCTGAGAATTTGCTCTATCTTATAGTGTTACTGTGCTCTTCTTATCTGTTGTAGTTTCCATGGAAATAAATAGGAGGCATTACTTTCAGAGCAACCTATACAATTTCAAGACTGTATTTACCAACCAGCACTGTCCCCCTCCCTGCTTAATATCGCCAAGGTATTTGTAGACATTCATGGTATCCCTTTTTGGACTTTGCTTGGCTATATAAAACAAGTTACTCTTCCAGTTTCTTCCCATCGGTAGCTCCCCACTCCCAGTAATCATACTAACTTTTTACTATCAGTCTCTGGAGTTTTGAGTTCATTTGTTTTTATTGTTTCCCTCTCCCTGAACACCAATGAGCAAAACTGAACCCAAAACGCCATGCAAGTACATACCGTAACTTCATAAAAGCAATTTAATTGACAAGGGTGTCTATTCACACACAACGTAAACAGTGAAAACTACAGAAGCACAGACTCATAACACTGTGAATCAACATAATCACTAGAAATGAAACTCAGTGCTCACCTTGATGAGGGCAGAGCAGTGACCCATATCCCACTGGTATTTCCCATGGCCTCCAGCTTCGACATTGCACTGTCCGCTTCGTGCAGAATACTCAAATAATGCAGGAATGAGATCCAACAGGTCTCCAACTGCATTCAGAAACTGGACATCAAAGACACTCAGTGGCTGAAGAAAGAAGAGACCATAACGAATGCTTTCAGATAGAAAAGCTTCAACACAATCTCACCTGTTAAGCATTTTTTTCTTTCTCAAAGGAATCTCTTATACTTTCTATAAAATACCTTCCCTCAAGGCCCACAAGCTAAGGTCTGCAATGAAGCACTCAAATATCTTTAAGGGTTTAGCCCTTCTAGTGGAAATACCAATTCTAGCATTTCCAAGGGAAAAAAAGAGAAAGTAGCAGTAATTTAGAAAACCTCTGTGTATCTTTGTGAACAGCATATTAATTAGGCTGCTGTTACTCCAGCATAAGACTTTTTTTTTTTTTAATGTATTTATTAAAAGGCTATGAAAAGCTTTTTATTAGCACACACTTGGGTGAGCTCCGGGATTTTTATAAAGACTGCAATTAAAAACAACCTTAGGACTGAGAAGGAGAAAACAAATGAAGGAAGTGAAATACGTTAACAGTGCTAATAAAGCATGGAACTAGCGGAAAAGAGGAAGTCAGTCAAAAGGCACTCCAATATTAGGCTTTCAAAAAACCCTAATAGCTAGAAACAGCCATGGTTAACTATACACACCTCACTGAGCAACGTGTTCTTCACAGTCCTCTTACATTGCCTATTCAAAAATAAAATCTTAAGTCTGATCTCAGCCTTCAAAGACCATTTTCTAACTCTTTCCTATTCTTTCTTGCTGTCTTTAGTTAAGGCAAGGCCTAAGGAAAAGAACATAACACAAATCAGCATAGGGCTATGACTACTAACTGTAGAATCATATAGCAAGGAAGCATTTTGCTTGCAATATAAATCACTACTACTAAACCATGAAGATCAACTCTACAAACCCCAGCAAATAAGAGGAAAGGGCAACAAAAACAACCAACCAAAAAAAAAGTTAATGCCAAATTCAGAGAATACTTACTTTGTATCCAGAAGGCTGAATTCTGTGTTATCCATCTACTGCTTTGGCAGAGCAAATAATCAACAGGAAAACCAAAAATAATGTAAAACCTAATGTATATAGCCTAATGTATATAACCTTCCCACATGCTTACCAAGACTACAATAGAAATAAGCTATTCTCACCAATAAAATCATGTACTCCTAACAGCAGCTACAGTGTGTGAGAAAAAAATCCAGAGCAAAATTGAAAGGATGTTACCTTTCTCAGGCTCATCATACTACTGCTATAAGGTCATAAACAGGGAGCAGCAGAGGTCATGACTGATAAAAATCAAGAGATGTACCTTCAGATAGTTTTAAGCAACTTAGTAGTATGAATCATTTACAGACAAGTCCCAACAACTGCTATTTCACTGAAATCCACAGACAGATTTGCCACAGTTCAGCACATTTTCCCCCATCCAGCTGTACTCAAAGTACTGCAAGTTAAACATGCTGTGAAGAGAAGCTGTTTTCTCACGTCCAGTTTACAACCATTACTATAAGAGAAAAGTCAGGCAGCAAACTGATGAGCTGACATTATCACCAGGAGGCAGGAACAGGATTGCATGTAAGAGTGCTCCACCAGCCTTCAGAGAGAGCCTCTCTATTATAAAACCTGCCTTGCTTGTGACATCTATTGACACTGCAACAACATCACTTGTAATTGCTTGGATATTTAAATATATATATATATATATATCTCCACATTTATGTGCTATCTCATGGCCATTTCAAATGAGAAATGCATTAAGTACTGGGAAGCCCATTCAAACTAGAACAAAGGTGCTACAGAAGGAAGCTATCAGCACATTGATCATAGAAAAGTGGCCAGGAAGGTAGGAGGAAAGATCCCCTTGAATAAAGCAGCAAAGAATATGTAAATTCATTGTGTTCCACTGAGTGAGATTGCCATCTCCCAAATTCAGACAAAACTGAGAAGTAAAAGAGGAAAACTAGGTCATTAAGTACCCATTGGAGTTCTGTTTTCGTTTCCCTTTTGAAGTGCAAGCAAGCTTCATTCCAACTTATCTCAAAGAACTCATGCCATAGCTTTGCAAGGAAAAAAATGGTTTTGTGTTCTAGGCTGATGCTAGCCAGGTGAATTAGAGAAGTCTGACATGCTCAGTGCAAGAGCTTCTCATGAAAACAATGCATTCAAACAGGATACTCAGGCATCTGTGATGCATGCCAGTTGTGGGAATTTCAGGAGCAGACTGATGCAACTCTCACCAGGCTGATAGCCCGAGTTGGGGAATAACTAGACCTGATTTTCCAAGCCATGTGGAGAAGTCTTCTCACTAAGATGCTAATCCAAACCCACCAGCAAGAATTAGATAAGCATACTTCATAACAAGTGCAAAATATAGGGCATACTGTAACCTCTTCTCATCACCTTCTCCCATCTCTCATAGCACTGTCAGGAAAACTCCTCATATGCATCCTGAATAAGAGTGAATGAATGTGCTAAATTGATAAGCAGTGAGATGATATAGCCATGACAAGAGAAAAAGTTCTTTACCTAAAATATATTGGACATATTCTCGGTTACCATCCTGAAAAGTGAAAAAAAGTCAAACTGATTTTTTCTTTCCCAATGTAAAGTTACTACCAACTGTAAGGAGGCCAACTTAGAAAAGGTAGCAGGCAAGAGAACAAGCCTTAAGTGTGTCTGCAAGAAACAAAAAAATAGACTAGATATTCTGTAACAATTGCCTTTCAATGACCTCTCCATGCATGAGCATTCTCCATAATAAGTGAGCAAGTACAAATAGAGAGCTGTTGCGGAGTCACTGCAGTATTTAAAACTTACACCTCCTTATTCAAGAATAATTTCCCTGTGTAGACAAGCCCAAGATTAATCACAGCGTTGGTAGAGCATTAGGCAGATGAAAAGGCTTCATGTTCTTTGAGTGCCCCTCCTTCAGAAATTGTCCTGACAAAAGGGTTGGGTTTGTTTACTGAATAGAAAATGTTGTCAAACCAGATGGAATAATTTCACACTTTAACATGAAAATGTATTCAGATTTTGACACAATTCTCAACAATACTGGTGAACATCAAATTCAAGATACAGAAGTTTCCAATGAGCATTGCTCTCATGCAGGTTTGAATGAAGTGCCTGCCTAGAATAGCCCTGCAGGATACAAGAGAAAACTCAAAAATTAAACAGTCCACTACAAAACTTTCTGTATGCTCCATACAGAAAGAAATAAAAACTATGTATCAGCACTACTACTAAGCAGCTCAGTGTCCAAACCAATTTTCTCTCAATTTTCATACATATGTGCCTACACACACACACACAGCATACAGCTCAAGAATAAAGGCCAGTCATTTCAGACTGAGCCACATGTTTGAATTACACTTGAATGCACCATTTTACGTAGGTAGTGCTGATGAGATGTGCCCTGTCTGAAAGAGGATCAGAATGATTTGGTTACTTCACAGGTCAGTGCTTTTAATACCAACTACACAGACAAAAACAATCAATAAAAATATGCTGCAAGGTAGGATGTGCCTGTTTTAAGGAATTAGCTCAGACACAAACTAGCAGTTTTCTCACCCAGCTAAATCTAAAGCACTCCAAAGCAGCAAAAACAAACAAACAAACAAACAAACAAACAAAAACTGATAAGATTTGCAGGGCTCTGCAGCTACAGTGTTGTAAAAAGGAATTATAGTTCTAGAAAGTCATGGCTTCTCAATATCTTCCCTATAATTCAGACACACCAGAATGGATATTTTCATTATTGTCAAGAATCTTTTCTTTTAGTTTGAACTGGTTCCTACTCAAGAAAGCCACAAAGCAAGGACCATGCAAAGAAGAGATGACATGCATTTTACTAAAATCCAATTGCTGATGATTCCTTACTGTTATCTTCCCTAAATTCTCATTATGAATGAACCAAGGCAAAAGGTCAACTGCAATTACTCAGGTCCTCCTCTCACACTCAGGAGCCTATTAGACATACTAGACTTAAGAAGACATTTGTAATTACTACAGCTCTACTGAATTTAAAGGAGCTCTGGCACTGCATACAAGTTTATGACCCGGAACACAATTCTAACCAATCATGAAAAAATAATATTAATTAAAGAAAACCTCCCGTTTGGCCTGCCACAACACTGACCATACAGTTTGAAACAAGAGCTGTGGAAAACAGAAAACCATCTAGCAATGTAAAATATCCCTTAAAATTTAGCAACTTTGATGCTTGAAAATAAAAATGAGTTTTTAACATGCTCCCTATTTACTGCCTCACGCTGATGCAGCTACTCTTCATACCAAGAGGGTCATTTGCTCAGTAACAATTGCTCAGCAAACATCTTAGAGAAGTGTCTATCTTTCCAACATTCACACTTGAGTACAAAAGCCACTCCCAACCTAATCAGCACGTGAGAGGACAGAGTTCTAAGTGCAAAGGTCTGTGGTGACACAACAGGAGAGCTCAGTAACAATCTGTAGTGAGCAGTGACTGAAGCTTTTGTAGAATCACATGCAGAATGAATGCTTTTCACTAGTTTTCATATACATTTTTTCTTTATTAATATCAGATTCCCTTTTCACGTCTTCATCTTCTGACATCCCAACCCCAACTACTAAAAAAGAGATGCAGTAATCTTACTGTTTGCTTGTGTAGTTTAGCCCACTCGAGGGCTCCCATGTACAGACCATCCAACTGTGCAATAATATAGCCAGCATGCCTCCAAAAGGGGTCATCCTTATTATTTCTGATTTGTTGTCTTGTCCATTGATCTTGTTTCCTGCAGAGGAACAAACAGGTTGGGGTTTTCTTGCTTTTGCTTTAGAGTATAACTGATATTGCAGGGAAGGGACAAATGCAGGCCTGTATTACAATCCAGATATCAAAACTTTCCTAGTGTTTTGAGCCAAATCGTATTTTGGAAATTCAGAGGTTGAATCCTTTGGGTGCAAGTATTCAGATCCATGCAATGTACCCAACAGTTATTAGCATACCCTGCTTCAGAGCTAAAGGAAGAGATGGATTCCATCTCTGTGTGGGACTCACCTATGTCAGATCTAGCATAGTCTCGTAATCAGTAAAGAGAAGCAAGCATTTGACACGTAAGGTGAACAATTCCCTTTCAGATGCCTACTTGAGGATAAAATATGTGGACCTTTGAAGTCCCCTCATTTCTCTCCCTTGGGAATAAGTGCAATGAAGGCTTTCTGGTGGCAGTGTTTAAACACTGCTTAAGAACCACCATAATCCTCCTCATGATGAAAAGGTGGGAGGCCAAATGCAATCATTCCCTGTGCTAAACCCAACCAAGAAGTCACTACCCAAATAACCTAGGTTTACAGCATGACACAACAGAAGCTGAACAGACACAACAGAAGCTGAACAGACCCGAGGACAACAGCAGTCAGCACTATGCGCATTTTCCAAAGTTCCCTCTTTCACCGTGCACAAAGGGCCACAGAAAAACCTGAGTTATCAGAATAAGCCAGGACCAGAGCATGACTACTGGGCCTCTCTCTATCCATCTATCTGGTGTATAGCCAAAAAAAAAGAGGGACTAAATCTGGCAAGGAAGTAAACTCTTCCAGCAGTATATGGCTGACAAAATCACCCAAGTTTAGTTGTCTGTAAGTAAGAAGGTGCAAGAACTATGTCAAAGGAAATGGGAATATGATAATCAGTGCATCCTGGGGGATACAACTGCTATTCTGAGTTACACAGGCAAAAAAACTTGGATATGGTACCTACTTCATCTTTCTGTCAGAGAGGATACAATTATAGGAAGGGAGTGGTAAAACTTTTTTTTTCTGTTCTATTTACATACACCAAAAACAACAAATGCACTTACTTGATGTAAGTGCAACAACAACAGAATTATTCAGATATGTAACCCCTTGCATCAGAAAAAAAAAAAAAAGAAAACACAACAAGGTGAAACATAATTAACCTGCAAGAGTGAGTCAAGTTTCACAGAAGTATTCATAATGGAAGAAAACACAAGTCTAAGGAGATGCTAATCACAGTCGAGCCTTCTAGTACCTAGCGTGGCTTTTCTTCAACTTTTGGTTTCCAAGCAGTGTAGCTGCATTATTATTTGAGCATAATTACTTTTGATTTATACCGCTGAAGAGAGAAGGGAATTAGGACTTTCCTGATTAGAGGACAATTTACTTCAGTGGTAGAATATAAAAAAAATCTTATCTCACAGTGGAATGAAAGAACGCACAATGCTAGAAAGACTAAGGTACCAGAAGACCACACTATTCAGTGAAGCATTCAAAATACCAGCTTCTGGGAAAGCATTTTGACTAGACTTTGGAATCAGTTGGCATTAACTACAGCTTTAAATATTTCCTTGAAAGAATTAGAAAAGGGCATACTCCCTTCTTCATTTCTGTTGAGAATTTTTTATTCCCCCCGCACACGAATGCCACACAGTCAGAAGTAAGCACGTATTTTCTTTAGCTTTTAAGAAAGAATTTGAAAAAACTCAAACATTCACTCATACTCCAACCCTAAATCTTGATTATTGTTTTTTACGGTAACTAAATACATACGCCATGAAATTCTGAACTCCACTTCGAACCCTGGGATTTTTAATTAATTGTGGATACATGTTTGCAGCATGGTCATACATATGCCTGAAAGAAAAAAACAAAAAAACAAAAAACAAAGTTACTCTTTTTCACCTTCCTTCCCTCTTCCACGCTACCCCACTTATTACCAAACGTTGGCAAATAAGCACCACAGTCCACAAAGTCAGCTTTTTTTAATTACAGAAATGACTTCATACACTGAATCCATGTTAAATGGCAAAGATAACACAAAGGGATTGTTGAAATTTGAATCAAAATAAAAGACTTTGCTAATGCTTGCTCAAACAGCCCTATAATGGAAAAAAAAAAAAAAAAAAAAGCAAAAATGAGAAGCAAACCTTCAGATTTAGGAAACGTTTGTAGACCAGAACCATCTTGGAGGTTCTGGCACATTAACATAAAGCACAACAGAAATGGTTCATCAGAGAGCTTTTCTATTTGGAATCAAGAGAGCCAGAGAGATCAGTAGGATATTATTTGCCGATTGAATTGAAAGAATTTCAGCCGATACCTAGCAGAGTTTTCACTTACCGTTAACCACGTTCTACCACGTAACAAGCTAAGTATCTCTATTTTAAGGTGTAAGTTGATCCTGAGCATTCCCAAATAGCAGACTCATGCCTGATCTAAACAAATTCATGTTTATGGAAAACAAAATTACTGTAGTGTGTTTGTTTTTGTTTGGTTTGGCTTTTTTTTGGGGGGGAAGGGGAGAAAAGGGGTTAAATTTGGGGTTTTTTTGTTGTTTTTAAATTAAGTTCAGTTAGCTTTCTCATCCCTATTAACTAGCAGGAACAAAAGGTGCTTTTTTATGCTTGTTACTGTTTAGTTATTGAAGTGAAGCACTTTACACTTCCAGAGAAAATTAACTGCCAAAAAGAATTCAGGAGCCCATGAGTTAAAAGTCACACTTCCAGTTTAGGTCAAGTGTAGTTGCTCAGTTCATGCATCTGATCCTTTGAATCTTCTCATTCCTTTAATTTTGCTCCCATTGACATTTCTTCATGTTGTGCAAACTGAATTAACGCTTGCTCAGCCACTGAGAAGAAAAAAAAAATGTGTAGGTAGGAATATTTAGTTCTAAGTAGAAGTCAATAGGAAGTTATTTTGCTGAAGTCTGGAGTTGGTGGAACTACATCAGTCATCACTAGAATGATGAACTTAGCTCCTACTAAGTTCCAAGACCAAACAGAACTAAGAAGCAGGCATTAGCCTCAAGGAAAGCAAATGCCGGCACAACAATGTTCTCTGTACCAAAACTCTGAAGGGCAACTCCCTCTGGAAGCTGTGCAGACAGGTACTCTTTTTCTCCAATTTCTCTCAGAGCATAATTAGAGGCCATAATTAGAGAATGCAGCCAGAGATGACTGAATGGTTTGTTGATAATTAGAGATATGATCTACTGACCTTCTTTTTGTCCCTTGCCCCATTCTCAACTGTTTTTGACTGCATGACCCTGTTATGTCACTTCTGGTACCCTTCTGATCACTCAATCTAATTGTTCTGCACACATTCAGGTAAAACACTAACCCAGCAAAAAAATGTAAATTGCTTTTCTAGCTTTCATGTAGACAGAAGTGGTATGAGAAGAAAGCTTGAGGAGACTGAGTGTACCCTCAGTAAGTTTGCAGAAGACAACCAAGTTGGAAGGAAGTGTCAATCTGCCTGAGGGTAGGAAGGTCCTACAGAGGGACCTGGAAGGCTGGATCTCTGGGCTGAGTCAATGGGATGAAGTTCAACATGACCAAGTGCCGGGTGCTGCACTTTGGTCACAACAACCCCATGCAGCACTACGGATTTGGGGCTGAGTGGCTGAAAAGCTGCACCAAGGAAGAGTATGTGGGGCTGTTAGCTGACAGCTGGGTGACCATGAGGCAACAGTTTGCCCAGGCAAAAAGAAGGCCAAAGGCATCCTGGCTTGTATCAGAAATAGTGCAGCCAGCTGGAGCAGGGAGGTGAGCCTCTGTACTAGGCTCTTTTGAGGCCACACCTCAAGCGCTGTGTTCACTTTTTGGGCCCCTCACTACAAGAAAGACACTGAAGCCCTGGAGCACGTCCAGAGAAGGCAACAAAGCTGTGAAGGGTCAGGAGCACACACCTGATGGGGAGCAGCTGACAGAACTAGGACTGTTCTGTCTGGAGGAGACTCAGGGGAGACTTTCTTGTTCTCTACAACAACCTGAAGGGAGGTTGTGAGGAGTTGAAGGTCGGCTTTTTCATGCAGGTAACAGGCGATGCCCTCAGGTTGCACCAGGGGAGGTTCCTAATATCCGACCAGGTAGGCTGGATATTAGGAAAAATTTCTTTGAAAGATTGGTGATGCACTGAAACAGGCTGCCCACCACCATCCGTGGAGGCTTCCAAGAAAAGGTTGTATGTGGCATTAAATGACGTGTTTTAGTAGGCATGGTGATGATGAGTTGACAGTTGGACTAGATGATTTTAGTGGTCTTTCCAACCTTAATGGTTCTATGATTCCATCTTAGTAAATGAATCAATATGAAAGAACTTGGTGAGTGTCTGGGTAGGCGCAAGTGAGAGGGGTTGGATATGTGGAAGGAGGAGCTACAATCAAAGAAGGAAGTACTCAGCAGCCTTATACCATCACACTTTTTATGGAACTCCAGCTGTAGCATCAATTTTAGTTCTAGAGTTATCTGTTCTCCTCCCAGACTACATGCCTTAATTCCTACCCATTTATTGAAGTGGACAAGAAAGTTGAAGAGCCAGATTAATATTTTGCATCCCTGCAGTCCCAGCAAATTTGGCAAATAAAAATCCCAAGCAATTTTAGTATGGAAATCATAGCATAACATATGCCATACAAGTCTGATCCCTGACAGCACTGAAAAAGGGAAAGCAGGAGACAATCCATTTAGCAGATAGTCTTTCAGGGACAAGAACCAGATTAAGAGGATAGAAACAACAAGGATGCTGCTCTGACCACTGCCTGGGCCAGGATAGATGACCAGGCTTCTAGACTCAACTATGAGCCATAACTGTCCTTCATTTGGAGTTCTCAAAATTTATGCAACACAAGGCAGATTTTACAGCAGTGGTATTGTTAGGCTGTGATGACTGATACAGAGTGGGTTTGTTCAGAACCAGAGGAGTGAAACCAGCTTCTTTAATGGGTCTCCTTCTTGCATATACTAAGAGGCCAGATGATTCCTGGGATTTTTTATTAACGCACAAAGTTTTTGAGACTCTTTTCCCCTTAGATGCCCTGTGTTATCATTTGGGGGGTTTTTTGCATCTTTTATTCCGTTCTAACAAACCTTCTACATGCAAGGCCTGCAAGTTTTGTAAGAGAATTACCTTCTGAAGTAAATTGGATCATTACAATAACGTAAGGCTTTGCAGCTGTATCTAAGTCAAAAACAAGGCAATTACAAAGTTGAGACAAGAATTCAAAGTCCAAAAACAGCAAAGCAGAGCTATGCTTCTTCAAATTAGAGAGGAAGATGACAGGACTCAGGTCAGCTGAGGTTATATCAGAAAAGAGTACAATTAATGTTGCTTCAAATTTAATACCAGCTCTTAGGCAGCTGGTATGTCTCAGTTGAAACTGAGTAATAGCATGCGCTGAATGTCACTGATCTGGATGTGCTCTGCCATTGCTTGAGTAAAGTATGCCTCAGTAACATCCCTCTTGTAATGGGGGAAGGGAATTCATATCCAAGAAAGCCACAGCAAAAAATTTCAGCTGGACAATAGGACTGGATCCTACAGAGAGACCTGAGACTAGGGATAAAAACAAACATATGGCTCTCCAGATACAAGAATGAGATGTATCCTGCCCCTGACTATTTTCAAAATGGACAGTCGCTATTTGGATCAGGTGCCTATTCTAGAAAGATGAATCATGTCCACTGGTAGATGGGTCTAGCTTAGCTATTGTTTTTATACCACAGACCTACAAAACAAGAGCTGAGTTGAATTCCTCCCCAGTAATTTGAGATCATACAGTCCCATGTCTTTTTTTTTTTTTTTTTAATCCATTTTTATTACATTCTCCTTGGGTTCCTAAAAAACGTATGCTTGAGAGAAATTCTGTCACTCTTAGGCATACATAAGGCTTAGCTGAGCCTAGAAAGCTTCCTTCACATCTTAAGTGTAATGACAGAACTGGGATAGCTGAGAATTCCTGAAGGTCTCCAAATGCAGCCACTGTCAAACTGGAGCTGACAGCTTCTGCAAGAACCTGTACTTCAACCTGGATTAGGCCTGCAATGTATCCTTCCTATTAATACAACACAATGAGATCAGAGTGCTTCCTGGCAGGACTTAAGGGTTCCCACAAAGACGCACCTTGGGTCATTTCTGCTTTGTGGAGTCGTTGCCATAAATGGATGTGTGACAGATGAGACCTTGGAGTTAGTTGCCCAGACTAAGGAAACAATATACTACAGGACACCTCAATTAGCAAGCATACCTCATGTATTCACCTTGGAGGGCTGTGGTATAAAGAGCCACCCACAGCAGTGGTGCCAGTACAGGCAAGTGATGTAAGCCTCGTCACTCTGGTAGCTAAGTGGTTGTTGATACAAATAAAGCCTTCAACACTGTCAAACACTGAGTTACACTCTTCCTTGCTGTAAGCAGGACAGAAAAGGCCTTCAGAGGGAAGGCTGAGCTGTGTGCAGCTACTGTGGACAACAAACGTGTGCAAAAGCAGAGTGACAGTGTTTAGAGACTCATTATCTTATGAGAAGTAATGATGGTGCTAGAAAAAGCTTACCTAAAAGCTGGCTGCCAGGCTGTCTGAATGGAACAGGGTTACAGCCTGAGAGATGCTATTTCCTACTTCCACCATAAAAGACTTGTGTAACCACTCCAAAGAAAGAACATCTGACTGCATGTCAGTTAGGATTCCATCACTTTCCAGGTAAGATAAAGATGCAGGAATGGAGTTGTGAGATCAAGCTTTTAACACACATTTTAACCCGCTGCCACACCTATCTGTTTTAAAGCTGTTCAAGGTTCACTTAAAAGCCCAAATCTCAAACCCTACTTCTTCAGTCTCTTCCTTGACACAAACCCTCAAGCTCATTTCCACAGACTCTAAGACCTCTGTTCAGTATAATTTCTGCTTATCTACCTCTCTATAGTCATTGATGGAGCTCATAGCCCTGCAATAAAAATGGCTGAGGTTGGGAAACAGCGGTAGTAAGCATCTGGTCTGGAGAAAGCAAAGGCCTTGAGCAGAGTAACTGGTGAGCACCTCCACTTCCGTGAAGCTTCACTTAACATCTGTAGCCAAGAGGAAGGGGATGTGGAACAGCACTCCTTCCCCTAAACCTAAGCATAGACTGAGACATCAGATAAAGACTTTGCAGATGCTGTTTCACACTCAGTCCATTTTTAAAGGAATGGGCATATACTTAAGTCTGCTTAAAAGGACAGTCAGGAAGACTTGCAGATCAACTACGGATCTGGACCAGGAAGTGGGTTGTTGCTCCTAGAACATTTCCTGCTATCTAATTAAGCTTAGCACAGATTGGACCATCTACGTAGTATGACAAAACTTAAGCTTAAACACTTAAAGATGAGAACACAAAGCCTTAGAGAAAAATCTAAGGAGTAACATTCTCATGTAATGCTACGATTCCCCCACATCCATATGTAGTTTATAGAAATTAAGTAGTGCAAAGCTGTAACTTCTTATGCAAAATAATCTAAACAGCATATAACCAAATTTCTCACGTACTTCTTTCTCTTTCCTGCCTGGGTTAAACGCTGTGCACTCAGTACTCTAGGTCTCCTTTCTTGAACTAAAACTACACATCACATTTCTTCTGTTCTTCTGGAAAAGAGAATACTAGAAGGGTAAATTAAGAACTTATTTACAGTGAGGTGACGGAGCACTGGAACAGGCTGCCCAGGGAGGTGGTGGAGTCTCCTTCTCTGGAGATGTTCAAGACCTGCCTGGATGCCTACCTGTGCGACCTGCTGTAGGGAACCTGCTTTGGCAGGGGGGTTGGACTCAGTGATGTCTGGAGCTCCCTTCCAACCCCTACAGTTCTGTGATTCTGTGATTCTTCTTTCCCTCAGAAAGAATTTTCTTAATTGACAAACACTGTTTAACTGGGTTTCCTTCATAGTGTAAAAGTCTTGTTCAGAGACCATCTAATGGATGTCCCTCCATTAGAGGAACCTACTAGAGAGTCATAATAACATATGATCAGAGAACTATCCACAAAATCTTAACTGATCTTAAAATGTCTTACTACTGATTACACTAATATCTTGTTCAAAAGTCATCCCAGACATTTGCTCTTCAGAAAAGCCTACTGTGCTGACTCGGCAGTTTTTCTTTTACCGTGACTAAGATCATAGAGGGGAGAAAAAAAAAAATAAAAAAAAATCAAGCTTATTCAGCAAGCCATGTGTCACATGCTTAGTATACTTGTATCTCCAGCTATATCCCATCAATTCTGTCTTCCTGCTTAGTAAGGGAAAGAACTTCTCTTCTGAATTTTTTTTTTTTTTTTTTTAAAAAAAAAGCTATTCTGGATTCATTGAATTTGTAACAAGCATAAAAAACCAACTGTTTTCACACATCTACACTGTGGGAGAGATTCAATCCCTCATTTTCTCTCCACAGGAATCCTTCTAGACACACATCTGTCTGTCTATCAGTATATCAGCATTTTTTACTTTGTCCAAGAGAGACCAAACTTCCCACACTGTAAAGTTTCAGCACCTGCTTCTCCAGTAGATTTTTGACAGTGTTTGCTGAAAAACCTCCTTACAGAAGCCCTGCAGTCTTTGTCTCTCCCTGTCTGATCATTGTCTCATCTGTTCATCAGTCACCTACCTGTATGCCGAGGAAATAACTATTCTTTCTGCTGCCTCTTTTGTAATTATTTACAACATAGTGCTTACACAGTTCATTATACATATGCTATTCTGTGATTACATTATTTAACCATTAATAGAGATGCAGTACTCATTGATCTCAGTGACGTGTCAAGAGAGCCTGCAGGAGGAGAGGGTGCAGAGCCATAACTTGACACTGTGGTGATGATGCTTTACTTCATACTGCTACTAATCAAAAAAACAGCACACTACCACAAAAATGTACGGTTAGTTTCAATTGACAGGATGTAAGGGAAAGGATAGAAAGTGAATAAAAAAAACTCACTAGCACAGAAATCCACTGGAAGAGTCATAAGTTGAGAAGCTTCCTGAGGTACTTACGGAGCTGTGAGATAGCCTTCCAAAAATCCAGCTGCATACATGATATCTTCATTGCTTAAGGTCTGATGGCCATAGCCTGCTTTGATCTCCAGAACTCCCCAACCTGTTGTCTGTACAGTGTTGTTGTAGAAGCCATATGCATCTCCACTCCTGTCCAGTATATTCTTGACCTGAAGTATTTTTTGAGCTTTATTCCAGTACAAAGTTGCATAGCGCATTTCTGTGGCCAAGAAGAAAGAAGGCAATGAAAACAAAAACAAAAACACAAGGGAAATTAGTGATGCAACACATCTGAGAAGTAACAAGCATTATAGGAACATCATTTCACTTCAACACTGCTGACTCCTAAAGAAGTCTAGGAGGGTCAGAGAACTAGATACAACGCACATAAACCCAAGTCTCCAGAGTCCCAAGCAGCTGTTGTTAAACAATAGAGTGGAATGGGTTGGTCTGCCACCTTATCAGAAGTTTCTCACAGCATTTGTAGACTGAGAACTAATGAAGTAGCTGCTGCAAAGTAAGACTAAGAAAGTAAAACAAAGTAAAACAAAGAAAGCACATGTAGGCATTTCCTATCCAATTGTGGATTGCTGAGGCAATTTTAAAGTTTCTTTGGTAGCTTTCCAACAGGTTTGATTCCATTATGGAGACCAACACTAAGGTTAACATACTGAGGAGCAGTATGAGGACCAACTAGAGTTTTACAAGGACAGCAGTTTACAGATAAATATTTTCATGTTACTTCCTCGGAAATTATCAACAGCTTTTTTGGTATACAGCTCCAACCAGCTGAGTCTTGACAAAAATAAATCATAAAAATATTTCCTTATCTGGCCCAGCAGAAAAACTATACAAATCTTATCAAAAGCATCTTTTAAAATGTCATGCCTTATCCACTGCAAATGATTATAGCTACTGCTGACCTTGTTTTCTATCTGAAGATTCAAACAGCTGTAAAAGCTGGTTTTGCCTTTTTTTTTTTTTTTTTCCCCCCCTCTCTCCAAACTTTCTGGGCAGCTAACCTTGGAGACTCTATTAGCCAACCTGCAGAGCTCAATGGATCACAGGCTGAAAGATCAAAGCACCACACATATGCAACCCATTTTAAGGCACAAAACACCTCCCACACAACCAGAACAGAATGGACCCCAAGCATTAAAAGAACATGAAAGGTGGATAAGGAGGGCATCAGATTGCTCCAGAGTTCTGCCAGGAATTTTGCTTGGGGAACATTATTAATTAATTTGAGTTTTAATCCTGTTACACTGAAGAACAAAGAGCAAGGTAATGAACTTTCAGAAAAACCTCTAATTGTTCAGCCTTCCCTAAAATCAGACCTGGTTACATCAGAGCAATGCAAGTGAAGAGAGTTGAGGGGCAGAGGGACAGAGTGGGAAAATCAGAGTTTCTATTTTAAGGGATAAGTTCATAAAAACAATGGGGAAATTGGCGATGTTTTTATTCTTCTGACCACTGCTGCCAGCTGATAGCAACAAATTGCAATTTGGTTACTATGCCTCATGACAATTCATTTTGTGCATCACAACCACAATATCTGCAAGCAGAGAGCTAGACGTAAATGTGGATAATTTTACACAAAATATTTAGTATGCATGTTATCGTACTGGAATCACTAAAAAATGAAAAAAAAGCAATAGAGTCAGCACAATACCCAGTGCTCTTCAAAGAGCTTTAAGTAAAATGTCTGTGATTAAGTAGCTCATCTGACTTCAAACTAAGTTCACCCACTTCATTCAGTACTCACAGAATCACAGAATCACAGAATCACCCGGGTTGGAAGGGACCCCAAGGATCATGTAGTTCCAACCCCCCTGCCTAGCAGGGCCACCAAACATACACATTCAGATCAGGTTGCCCAGGACCCCGTCCAACCTGGCCTTAAACACGTCCAAGGACGGGGCATCCACAACCTCCCTGGGCAGCCCGTTCCAGGGCCTAACCACTCTCCTAGTAAAGAACTTCCCCCTAACATCCAACCGAAATCTTCCCTCCTTCAACTTAAAACCATTTCCCCTAGTCCTGCTGTTATCAGCCCTTTTGAAGAGTTTACTCCCCTCCTGGGTGTAGGTTCCCTTCAGGTATTGATAGGCTGCAATGAGGTCACCCCGCAGCCTTCTCTTCTCCAGGCTGAACAAGCCCAACTCCCTCAGCCTGTCCTCATAGGGGAGGTGCTCCAGCCCCCTGATCATCTTAGTCGCCCTCCTCTGGACCCTTTCCAAAATCTCTATGTCTTTCTTGTACTCCTCATTAGGAAGCTGTTTTTATGAAGAGCCGTGAAGTGACTGAACAAAACAGGCTTCCAAGAACTAAATTCTTCCTCCAACCAATCACTTCTGGACATAGCAGTTAATCAGCTTCTTTAAGACATTTTTTATCTATTTTACTAGATTGCTGAATAGTCTGTCTCATATCTAGTATTCCAGCAAGAAGAGTAAAAAGTGTTCCTTAATAAGAAAGCTTGGAAGGGGACCTCTGGAAATCATCTGGCCCAGTGCACTTGCTTAAGCAAGGTCAATTAGAGCTAGATATCCAGGCAGATTACTTCTGAATGTCCCCAAGGAGGAGACACCACTTTGCCTGGAGCCCCCTGTACAAGATGCAGAATTTTTGGAACAAGTCCAGAGGAGGACCACTGAGACAATCACAGGGCTGGAGCACCTCTCCTATGAAGAAAGGTTGAGGGAACTGGGATTGTTTAGCTTGGAAAAGAAAAGGCTCCAAGGGGACCTCACTGTGGCTTTCCAATACCTGAAGGGAGCATATGAACAGGAGGGGGAACGGCTGTTTATGAGGGTGGATTGTGATAGGACAAGGGGGAATGGTTTCAAACTGAGACAGGAAAGGTTTAGGTTAGAGATTCACACAGAGGTGGTGATGCACTGGAACAGGTTGCCCAAGGAGGCTGTGGATGCCCCATTCCTGGAGGCATTCAAGGCCAGGCTGGATGTGGCTCTGGGCAGCCTGGTCTGCTGGTTGGAGACTCTGCACATAGCAGGGGGTTGAAACTAGATGATCTTTGTGGTCCTTTTCAACCCAGGCCATTCTATGATTCACTACCTCTCTGGGAAACCTGTGCCAAAACTTCAGCACCTGTAAAGAAGAGAAGTTCTTCCTGGTGTTCAGAAGGAACCTCCAGTGTTCCAGTTTGTGTTCACTGCGTCTTGTCCTGGCCCTGGGCACCACTGAAAATAGCTTGATTTGTCCTTTTTGCACCCTCAATTCAGATATCTATATCTATTAATGAGATCCTCTTTTGGCCTTCTCTAGGCTGAACAGTCCCAGCTGGCATGGCCTCTCCTCACAGGAGAGGAGCTCCAGTCCTTTCATTACGACCCCTCACCAGACTCTCTGCAGTACATCATCCAGGTCTCCCTTGGACTGGGAGGCCCAGAACTGGACACAGTACTTAAGTACTTAAGCACTCTCTAGGTGCTAAGGTGCTAAGAAGGGAACAATCACATTCCTCAACCTGATAGCAATACTTACCAAATGTCCAGGATACTATTAGCCTTCTTTGCAGGACTTTGCACTTCCTTTTGTTGAAGCTCATGAGGTTCTTGTCACATCATTTCTGCATCTTGCTAAGGTCCCTAAGGATGAAGAAAATCCCTCTGATCTATCAATCACCCCTCCTGGTTTTATATCATCTGGAAACTTGCTGAGGGTAGTACGTCCCATCATCCAGAGCATTAATGAAGACACTGAACAGTACTAACCTCGTACCTAGAACATAGTACTGAAACTGCAGTACACAGCCTCCAGCTACAGATCTGTACCACCGAGTACTTTGTCAGTCTTCATAATGTACCAGACATATGCAAATGGGGGAGTGTAAACCAAAACAGCATTTTAGTACTGAAGAAAATCTTCCCCTCCCCCCATTCTATGAATAGGAGATTTTATGTGAACTAATTTAGAGATTAAGTCACTTCAGGGACTGGGCACACAATGTTTAAAAACATGCTTTTCATCTGCCAGGTAATGATGCTATTTAAAGGACTGAGACATCACAGACCTTGGATACCTTTTCAAGCTGCCACCATCAGTTTTCTGTTTTCACCTTACCTCATGTATTACTAAAAGATAGTTAACTGCTGCTTTTGTTTAAGGGTGAACACAGGAATCTCTCAGACTGAAAAATCTATGAAAAGCAGTGCAGGCTAATGAGGCTGGTCAGTACAGACTGCCAAAGACCATTCATAAAACTAAAGCTCGCAAAAGCAAAGGGAATGGAGAAAGCTGGGTCCTGAACAGGCTGAACAGAGACAGACACGTGCCTTGAACATGCATACTCTACTGTGGCAGGCTGTGTTTCTTTGTTTTACTCCCTGTCAGAACACGAAGATTCAGAATTGTTTTCAAAAGTCAGAATGAACTTTCAAATTATCCTTGAGTTTGCCCTGCCCTTAAACTTCTCCATATGAAAGTTTAACTGGAGAAAGCCAGGACTGGAAGAGGAGAGAAGTGAAAGTGTTGCATCGTGTAGCTTCATGAAGCTGCAGAGGCCTCTGGGGGAACAGCACTGAGCCATGTGCCACAGATGTGGTTTAACAACAATGCTGGAAGGCACCATTTCCCATTACTGATTTTTGGGGTTTTCTGGCAGCTCATATACCTGATGTCAGCTCAATCATTTTTATATCAGTTTCTGCAACTGTGATAGGCCTGGTCTAGTGTGCCAAAATACCCTCAGATTAAATTGTTATGCCTCCTTCAAGGAACAGCTATTTATGTATAATCATACAGTAACTGTTATAACTTACAAGATAAGGCTTTATGTTGCCGAAGATGGATCTAAAAATCACATCTTTGAACTCTGTGTGCACTTAAGCTTGCACTTTTATGTAATTGAAGCATTTCCTATCACTCTGTCACAGCTGTAACTTATTCATCTGAACAAGCAGTTCTACCTTTAGCAAGAAAACCATCCAAAATCTATCAACAGAACACAGATATCTAAGAACAGACTGCAGAATTCCAAACAGCCCTCTAACACCATGAACCTCTCCCTCGTATAATGCCAGCATTTTTATTTTGGGAGGGTGATGCAGAGACCTTAATATATCTTATCCCAGCAGTTGTGTTGGTAATGCCTTACGTATGAATCAAGTGCAATGTCTCCATGCATCTAGAAATCATAGAACTCACTGTGTAGCAGAGAACACTGACAAATGTCAACTTACTGCCTTCTCTCAGAGCTCTGAAGAGCAGAAATGACTGTGATAACTTACGGCAATTCCATATCAATACTGCTTAGTAGGGTTAACCCAAAAAAAAACAGAAGCAGACACTATTTACTGCAACAAGTGACTCAATGTCACTGGAAGGGCAGGTCAACTGAGCCAGAACTGCCTGCGTAACATCAGCAACACACAGTCCCACCACAGCTTCCAGTGCACTGCAAGATGGGGGACAGAAGTACAGAAGAGCAGTGACAGAACAAGTATGTAAATAAGTAAAAGTTCCTTCTCCTGTCTGCAAGAAGCAGAGACTGGGAAGAACCTTTCCCGAAGGTGCCTGTTCTTATAGACATATTGATGCTTTTGCCAAATAAAGATCCAGAAACAGGATTACAGTTGGCAGAGAACTGGAATTTCTTCACCACATGAGAAGTATCTGCCTTTTGCCAAGATTATATCCTGGAAAATGGAAAAGATGGAAGAAAAATGGAATATATTTCAGCTGTGGCTAGGAAACGATGATACCTAGCAGTAATGTGTAAGAACTGGACAGACAGACAAAAAAAGAACAATACAGCAAGATGGCCCAAGACCATCTAAGGTGCACTATTTAATAACTATCTCTTTTATTTATTAAATAAATTAGTACTACAGAAATAGCACCTGACATACCTAAGAACAGCAACAGAGTTTTTTAAGAAATAAATATTCAATAGATGTTTTTTCTTATGCTCTTGTTCTTAAAACATAGATACATCTGGACAGCCTACTAGACTTCTGATCAGAGAAATTAACAGAACTCCCCCTTTCCTGCAAGCGGAACAGCTACAGGGTTTGGAGGTCAGAATTAACATTCACGTTTGTCCTTAGTTTAAGCAACAAGCCCACTCATAAGCAACAGAGGGAGCACTGGGAAGATTTTCAACCATTTCATGCATTTCAGGTTACATCTAACTAAACAAGTCAGAGTAGGAAAAGCAGTGGGTTCCTCAGCTACTAATTTTTATCTCTATTTTACATGCTTTTTTAAATTTCCTGCTTTTGAAAGGTGAGGAATTTTTTTTTTTGGTAGAAGTATTAAGATGTACTTACTAGATTCCGCCCATTCACTTTCCTTTTCCTGTTTCACTGAAAACAATTTTTGCTCAACCTGGACCCATTAAAATAAAGCAGAGTTTCACATCTCCCCTTTATTAATACAGCCTGTTCTACAATTAATGTTCAGTTAGTTGTTCATTCTGTGTATCAGGCCAACCATAATAAGAAGCATCTGATATTTCAGTTCAACTTTGTCATTTGATAGAACTTGCCCTATTTTCCCAAAGAAATTTTAGAACCAGCCTCCTAACTGTTTAGAAAGGTTGTACACCTCTGAAGTACAAGTGAGATTTCACACTACAGTTACAACCAGAATTCATTACAAAATGAACATTAAGTACTTCAGGATTTCTTTAGAGATTAGCTTAAACCACACAGGCACTTAACATGAAAGCCAGTAATTTTCAATTAAAGAACTAAATGCATTCTTGTTCCTCTTGAACAGAAGTTATTTGTGTTTTCTATTCTACCAGACTTAATTAATCCTATTTCCTTATACATTTTAAGTAATTTTTCAATTTGCCTCCAACAAGCCTATCATTATTTGGAGCCTAATCCCCTGAATTCTGCTTACTGGAGAGAAAGAGGCAATACTGAAATGTGTGAATCGTGACTTCGCAGGTTCAATTTTATATGGTTTTCAACTTCACAAGGATGCTTGTGAATGTGACACTTGCCAAAACTGTAGGTCCCCAGCATCCATCATCCACAGAGGAAACAAAAGCAGCTGCTTCACAAGTAGCTTACAATCTTAGTCCCTAATTTTCACTGATGTTTACTGGAGAACATTCTCCAGAAACATTTTCCAAATTGCACAATAGGAATCCTCAAAGAGTTCAAAATACTAATGAACAACGAACAAATTTAGGGAAAACAAAGCAAACAAACAAAAATAAAACAACAGAAAATCCACAATGTTGAAAGCTAAATTTGCTCTATTAAATAGCCCAAAGGCACTTCCAAATGCTGCTTAATAGTCTTCTATTTGTCTACTTCAACTATGATGTGAGGAATCAGTAAGGTATTAGCTTAAACTACTTTATACCCTAAACTTCCTTTCACTTCTTCCCGCATGCTCCGTGGTTGATTCTTCCTTAAGTCCTGCTAATACAGTAATGAAAGTTTTTGCAATTTCACAGAATCATAGAATAGTCTAGGCCAGAAGGAACCACAAAGCCCACACAGTCCCAGCCAGTGCCATAGGCAGGGCTTCCACTCCCCAGCTCAGGCTGCCCAAAGCCCCATCCAACCTGGCCTTGAATCTCCAGGCACTCAGCTTTTCTGGGCAGCCTGTGCCAGCACTTCACTAGTCTCTGAATAAAGAATTTCCTCCTCTCCCCTCCTGAGGCTTAAAACTGTCCCCCCCATGTCCTATCACTATCTGCCCATGTAAAAAGTCAGTCCTCTCATTAATAAGCTCCCTTCAAGTACTGGAAAGCCACAATGAAGTCTCCCTGCAGTCTTCTCCATACTGAACAAGCCCATCTCCCTCAGCCTGTCTTCATAGCAAAGGTGCTCCAGCCCTCTGAGCATCTTCGTGACCTCCCCTGGACCCACTCCAACAGCCCCACATCTTTCTTGTGCAGTACTCCAGATGGGGCCTTACAAAGACAGAGCAGATAGGGACAATCCCCTCTCTCTCCCTGCTGGTGACCCCCTCTTCTGATGCAGCCCAAGGCACTGTTGGCCTTCCAGGCCGCAAGCACGCACTGCTGGCTCATGTCCAGCTTTTTACCCATCAGGACCCCCAATTCCTTCTCTGCACCGCTACCCCATGAGTTCTCTCCAGTCTGCATACGTATCAGGGATTACTCCAACCCAAGTGCAACACATTGCACTTGGCCCAGTTGATCATTAGGTTCAACATTAAGGTTTGAAAAGGATTGAAAAACAGGTCTGCAAGATGAGATAGGGCTGCCCACGAAATGAGACGCTTGTAACAACGCAGAAATGTTAAAACAACTGTCACCTGAATTTTCCCTTGTTCTGTAAGCAATTAATAAGTGAACCAGGAACCTCGTAGAAGACTTCACAGTATCACAGAATGGCTTAGATCAGAAACGACCTCAAAGCCCACCCAGTCCTCCCCCGTGCCGTGGGCAGAGCTGCCACCCAGCAGCTCAGGCTGCCCAGGGCCCCATCCAACCTGGCCTCGAAAATCCAGGGATGGGGCACCCACAGCTCTCTGGACAGCTGTGCCATCGCTTCACCGCCTTCTGAGCAAAGCATTTACCCCCTCAGCCGCCCCCCGGGCGTCACGGCCGTCCCTCACCCCGGCACGAGGCGCGGCGGCCGCTCGGTAGCCGGGACGGGACAGCGCCCCCGGCCGCCAGGCAGCCCCGCAGTACCCCGCCCACCCCGACGCGAAGGCTCCGGGCTGAGACCCCTCCACCGGCCCCTGAGAGCCGCCCGCCTCACCTGCTCGACCTCCCGCCACCGCCCATACGAGGACGAGCCCCCAGCAGCAGCACAGCGGGCCGCCGCCGAGCCGGGCCATGCTTCTCGCTCCCACGCGTCTCCTCTGGGCACCAGGAGGCGGCGAAACTTTAAGAAGTTCCCTCGCTCAGGGCAGGTCTCGCCGCTGCCCCCGCCTCCTCCGGCGCCCGCCCCGGCGCCCCCGTGCTGGGGGTGGCCCGAGCCGGGGCTGGCCCCGCCGGGGCAATGGTAACCCCCGCAGCTCGCCGTCCCCTCTGTCCCAGGAAGCGATGGTTGCTCGTCGCCCTGCTCTGCCCCCTCCCAAGTCGACTCGTGGTGGCCCCGGGGCTCGCGGGGGCTTCAGGGGCTCCCCCTGTCCAGCTGCCTCGAAGGCTTGGCCCCTACGCTGCCCTCCAGGCCCGGCTGTCCTGCTGGAGGGGACCGGTGGAAGGTGTCAGGCTGAGACCTGGATGTGTTTCGGGGCACAGAATTTGTTTTCAGAAACCCCAAAGCCAAGCCGGGAGCTGGGGTTCACTGCAGGGCAAGTTCAGGCCTCCTCTCCACACTGACCAGCCTCGAGTGGCACAACGCCGTGGTGGGGCAGCCCCGGGCCAGACCCTGGCAGGCCCCCGGGCTGACCGAGGCTGACAGACCTCCAGGGTTTGCCAGAGAAAGCTCCAGTAAAGTTACACCGTGTCTTGTCAAACCACATCTTCCACAAAGAAAAAGGGCATCTTTTAGCCCTGTTAATGCAAACCACTGTGCATTTCCCTGCAGAAAAAGAACAAGAGAGAATACTTTCCTTAGGGTTTACAACTATGGCCAGTCCCTGCGGGTGCCCATCCCTGGCAGTTCAAGGCCAGGTTGGATGGGGCCCTGGGCAACCTGAGCCGTGCCCACAGCACGGGTTGGGACTGCCTGGACTTTGAGGTCACCTCCAACCCAACCATTCTGTGGTTCAGTGACAGATTTCTGATGGCAGAGGGCTCTTTAATCCAACATTTAATAACAAAATGCAATGATAAGATACCGAATCTAAGACAGATTCAAACTAGAAAGTAGGTGAAAATTTTACTAAAAGAGTAGTTGTGATGTATGGGTGACAGAAATACACAAGAACCACATAGAAAACAAACATGCCAAAAAAAGTCAATCAGTTATTTATCTGCAAAGAATTACATGGGATTTATGATCTGAAGAGTGCAGAAAAGAGCTACTGAAAACTAAACAGATTCTAAATGAACTATCCCAGTGTCTGCAGATATTTGCTGAATAATTCATATCTCAGGAGCATCATGGATGGAACCCATGTAGCTCCTCTTTACAAACAGACTTACAAAGAGTAGAACAACTCCGCTTAAGAAAGCAGGAGTAGACTTCATGCTGGAGGAGTCTGACACTTACCACTGCAGTATAGCTGCGTTTGCTGAGTGTATCAGATATAGCAACCAAAATAGACTTGTGGTGCCAAGTATCACCTACCAAGGAATGTAGACATAGAGACGAAGCTTCTTGATTGGCATCTTGGGCCAGGAAATAGCAGGCATGCTGGTTTCATGTTTTTCTACTGTATTGATATTCCTTTCAGTGCATACCAGTTTTAGAATGCCATTCATTTTTTTCTGTCCTCATCCCAATGAGCTGTTCCATTAGGACACAAATGGGAAAAGTAGTGGTATGTTCCCAGTGCCAGCCCAAGTTAAAGACTGCTAATACAGAATCAGAAACTGGTAGCTGTTGGTTACAGGCTGTCTGCTATTTCTGCCTATAATGTGTACCTGTCTATAGAAATTTACATTCATCAAGCAATATTAGAAGCCCTATAGCACAAGCTGATTTAATTTTATAGCTTGTATATTTACACTTTGGTTGTTCTGTTGAGCTTTATGTTTGGCATGGGGCTTTTTGTGAGTTTGAAACAAGCAAACTGAGGTTGACAAAGGCAAAAGACAGGTGACTGGCTTGCTCTTTCTAACATTGTTTCCTTGGACAAAATTTCCATTCAAAACCATAAAGGAATGGTTTGGGGGGAAATTATATACTGAGGTGTACAGTTTGAATACTGACCAGTATTTGACAGCTGTTGAAAGAAGTAGCTCTGCTTTGAAAGCCATCAGTGCACATTTGCAAAAATTCTGCTCACTACTTTGTGGGAATGTTGGTTTTCTTCTACATGCACCCCCTGTTCTTTGGCTGCTTTTAAAATCTGATTATTAATAAATGCCATGTTTCAGTTCATGAGTGAGTCATCTCAGTAAAATGTGAGTTCTGCCTGGTTGTGAAACTTCATCCAAAAGTTGAACTGAAACTTCCAGAAGTTTAAAAAACATGGAGAAATTTGTTTTCTTCATTTCTGTTGCACTTCTGGTTTGGGGGGCACAAACAGAAGTGGAGGAGAGATATGAAAGGGTCTGCTATGCAAGATTTGCACTTTGATTTTTCAGAATTAAGACGTTCAGATAAGTTTTAGAAGCCGTGCAGATTCTAGAGTTATCTCCCAAGGTGAATAATGGAAGTGTTTAAGAAAGACAACTTGGCTAAACAAAATGTGGGAGACAGGGGGAACCTGCAGGGAAAAAATAAAAAAATAAAAAGGTAAATATCCAGGACTTACACAGTATGTTTAATGTTACATTCAAATATATTACAGCAAAGCTTTCTTGAAATAAAAATTACAAATTAAATACAACATTTGAAAATCATGGGAAATTAAGGCTATGCTGTGAATATTTCAGAAGTGAATTATTGAACAGGTATCATCTTTAAAAAACAAACCAGAACAGATAAGGTATCCTCAGGTCTCATTTCTCTCAAATCAGATTGCATGTCCCCTGCTGAAGTCATCTAACAATTTGGACATGACAGTGAAGACAGGTTTGATGTACTACTGGCAGGTTGAGTGGTAGGAAGGTTGCCTTGAAAGGTATTTTCTTTCTCCTCCAGCTGAGAACATAAGCTTCCAGCCTTTATATGAAGTACCTCTGGGAGTTGCTGTAGCTTTTTAAGTCATGCTAGACATCCAGTCTTAAAGATATGTAGCAGAATTATCTGTGCTGGCCAGCTGCAAGTATTCCAGGGTACCTGTTCTGTAGCTTGCTACCCGTTTAATCTCTCTGGTCCTGAAACCTTCGGTTTCTCTTTTCTGAAGAATTTTGGTTATCATCTCTGCTATGTCATTTTTTAACTGCTGCTGATTCTCCCTGAAAGCAAAAGGATGGAAAAAAAAAGGTCACAGAGTGACATGCTTTTAGTGATCCCTAGATCTCCAATGTTTTTTGAACATTTCTATCCCGTACTTAGATTGATGTCATTCACACACTTCTGAGATAAAGGTTTTAGATCCGGGTTTTGGCTTTGGGAATATTATTGAGGAATTACGTGCAATTTTTCTGTATAGCACTGATTACCATCTTTACAGAGATTTGTAGAAGTGTCATTAGTTAAAATAAATTTAGAGTCACTTACAGGAAAAAGAAAACATCAATTAAATGCTCTTCCAATTAAATCAGATTCTATTTCTCAACACCATTATTTGTACCAGTACTTCCACTACAGCTTCAGGTGGTCTTCAGTAACAGAACTGCTACCTTTTCATAAGCTTTTGCATTCTGCCTGGTGTTTACTATATTACCCTTTGTATGAGAATTTTAAGGGGCAATTCTGTGAGTCAGAGCCTATAACGAGGAAGTGAAAACAAAAACATCACTGAGTACAGTGATCCAGCTCAAGAGGTGTTTTCAAAATGCCAATTCAACTGCCAATTCAATCATTCTCATAGTCTCAACTGATCATTTTAATTCCGAAAAGGAGTTCTGAGACAACAAAGAGTTGTACCATGTAAACAGGCCTGACAGTGTTTCCTGCTCAGCACAGCGACAAACACTTGAAATGCCACTAAATAAAGCTAAGTTTATGAGATTCTGTAGTAGATTAAAAGCTTGATTATTTCTGTTTCGAAAACGTCTTGAAAAAAACTGCATCTTTCTCCTAGTTATCTCTTGTCTTTTAGGTAGATAGGAATAAATGGGTAGGAAATAAGGTTATGTACTTGTGCCTTTCACCATTAATAGATCCCAGTGTATTCAGCAGAGTACAATTTGCAATATAATTGCTTCAAGTACTGAAACACTGTTATTTCAAAGCAGATAGCAGCGAATCCCTGTTTGGTGAAGCAACTGTACACAGAAATAGAAAGTGGAGAAATTCCATGTTCTAGTGAGTTAACAGGAATAAATGCAGTACTCATATGCCAAATATAGATGAAATGAAGACAGTCATCCTGACTTCAATTTTGCAATATTTCTCAAAAACAATACTCCCACTATTATTGTATTTTATTTAGTAGTAATGCAAATTACAACTCAGTTCCAACACAGCAGCCTCTTCTTTTTCTCTTGCCAAATATACTGTATCATGTTAAAGTAGAATTTTGTTCGATTTCTAAACACTTTGTGCCTGTGCAATGCTACAGTTGCTTTGTCTGCCTCTTCTAACAGAATACAATTCAAAATCCTGCTCAAAATAACATGATCTTAGAGAGTTGCCGTTATCCTCTAGCTGCAGTGTCTAGTGTGGCACGCAGGTACAATTAGGGTCAAAGTTTTGGGGAATTGGCCCGGTTTCAGCTTGGACAGAGCAGATTTTCTTCATTCTGTCTGCTACGATACTGTGTTTTGGCTTTGGGAAAAAAACAATATTGATAACACAGTGACGTTTTATTTGTTGCTGTGCAGTGCCATACAGAGACAAGGACATTCCAGTTTTTCAGCTTCTCATACTGCCCTGTCAGCAAGGGGACTGAGGAGGCACAAGGAGCTGAGAGGGGACAGAACCAGGACAGCTGCCCTAAACTGTCCAAAGGGATATCCCATACTATATAATGTCATGTGAACTCTAAAACTGTGGGAAGTAAGCTATGAGGGCAGTCACTGCTCAGGGTATCAGTCAGCAAGTGGTGAATAATTGCACTGTGCATCACTGTATACATATATTTACAAAACAAATGCAGGGAATAATAATATTTTTAATTTGTATGTCCATCTCCTGCATTTATCACATCAGCAAGTTGTTCTATAAGTCATTACCCTTCCA